GTGGGCTTACGCTTTAGTCCAAGGGGCTTCGATCACTCTCCGAAGTCAAAGTGCATGCGTTCACGGGTTTCTGGGTTCGGGGTCAGGGACCCAAAACTCAAAAAGCCCTGAACCCGGAAAACCTCAAACCCTAGACCCATCCTAAAGTCCTAAACCCTACGTCCATGATTGACTATGCTGCTGCCACTTGAGCCGCCATTGTCACTATCATTGTCAGGGTGTGCTGTATCCAATGAGAGAGATGGGCAGTCCATCTTCTTATTACTATGACAGCAGCTGCTTCCATGATGGTGATGAGGATGACGCGTAGATTGTTATGGCAGCGCTGCGTGTCATCATGCTGATGGACATGATGGTGATGATCTCGGAGGTATTAGAGATTATGCGGGTATCTAGTATTGCAATGAACACTGTGCTTTGCGTGGGTCTCCGGCTTTTCGTTGTGCATGAGTCAGGATGTCGCAGGTGCATAACACGCCACAAGGGCCCCTTGCAATCGACATCCGGAAAAGCTCGATCTGGAAAATCGCGGATCTCGGAGGTGAGTATCGGAAATCAGGAGCATTGACCCCATACGGCAACATTAGAGTTTCGGGTCGGCGGTTCAGAGTACACGAAGTAAAGTGCACGGAGTGTGAATACGAAACATCCCGGGACTAGCATTGGAAAGCGCTCGAAACCATAATGGTAGGTGCCGAATAATTGCCAATACTATTCCGTGGGGTTCCCCCTGATATTGTTGTATGATAACCTCCACGCCCTATTCTCGTTACTAAAACCATTAAGGCAGCATTGTCAACTCGCCACGACTATGCCTAAACTGCTGAAACCTACACCTGGAACCCAAGTTCCCTACATTTGCCAAAGCTTGCGGCGCCAGGATCGGGGTTGTCGGGCTTATCCGTTGAAGGCGTTGTATTTGGAACCATAACGGTTCCATGAAACCCTAATGTAGGAATGGTGTCCCGAGCGAGGTCGTTCGAACTCGAAGGTTTGAAAGTTTGAAGGTTTGGAGGTTGAAAGTTTCAATCTTTGAAGGTTTGAAGGTTCGAAAAGTGCAGGAGTTCGAAAGTTTGTGCACCTTGGTGTGCACAAGCTAGCCGGCGTAAAACTTCGAACTTTTCAAACTCGAAACTTTCAAACTTTCAAACTTTCAAACTCTCGAACTTTCGAGCTCGACTGGCTGCTTGAAACTCAAACTTCAAACTTTTCCCGCGGGCGAGTTCGATCGGCCTTCGAAGTTTGAGAGTTCGAGACTTTGAAAGTTTGCAAATTCGAAGGTTCGACGGTTTCAAACTTTGAAAGTTCGAGAGTTCGAAAGTTCGAAAGTTTGAAAGCTCGAAAGTTCGAAAGAATGAAAGTTCGAAAGTTCGGAGTTTGAAAGGTTGGCTTCAGATTGGCTTCAGATTTCCTCTTCGGCTTGGGCTGAGGTGACGAGTTTGAAAGTTCGAAGGTTTCAAACTTCGAAAGGTTTCAAGTTCGAAGGTTTGAAAGTTTCAGAGATCGAAAGTTTGAAAGGGATGAACGTTCGCGAGTTTGAGAGTTCGAAAGATTGAAAGTTTGCAAAGTTTGAAGGTTTGAAGTGCGTCGAGATGGAAAGTTTGAAAGTCCGCCGAGTTTCGAGCTTGAAAGTTCGAGAGTTCGACAGATTGAAAGTTCGAGTTTGAAAAGTTTCAGAGTTTGAAGCGCTCGACATGCAGTCACGTATATGGGTGGCGTTCGCAACCCCAATTAAGTATCTGGAACAAACACGCCTTCTCTGTTGGCGATTCCGGTTCACTGCGCCCTCATTTTGCGATTCCGGTCATCATAGCCCCTCACCACATATCTTTATTACGCTCCCATTGGGCGATTCCAGCACACCGTGTAACTTAATCGCACCCCTTGAGTTGGCGATCTTAAGCACACCCCTCATTTAGCCTTTCCGGGTCATCGTATTTGTCGTATTACGCTTACTCATTTGGCGCTTTCGGTTAATTTTACATCTTACACACGCCTTCTCTTTTGGCGATTCTAGTTCACGGTATATCTCAAGCACGCCCAAAGGACGTTTTGGTTCATTTCTTCGCTGCTTAAAAAAAAGGGGAGTTTGCCCCCCTCCCCCTCCATTTGCAAAGCTTCCGAACCACCCAACATGAATATTATTTTCGCTTTTAACCCCCCTGATGCGTTTTCGTGTGGCTTTCTCCTTTGTGTGTCTTGGAGAAGACTTTTCCCGGCGACTAGTGGTACTAGTCGGGGGGTGGCGAGGGGCTCATGGGTGAAATATGATAGGGGGGGCTTTGTAGTGTTGGATCTGGGCGAAGTATGAGAGAGGGGGTTGGGTGAAGTACGTAGTCCTCCAAATCACTGGGGTTGGGTGAAGTACCTAGTCCTCCAAATCACCTTCCAAATCACTCATGATCATAATGCTCTTTTCTTCGTTTTTAACCCTCCTGAAGCGTTTTCGTCTGTTTTTTTTTTTGTTTTTTCGTTTGTGTGTGTTGGAGAAAACGCGGCTTAAGAGAGCGGGGAGTTTGCAGTCTAAAAACAGCGGGGGGTTGGGGGGGGGGCGCAGCCCCCCCCCATTTGCAGAGCTTCCATATCATTCATGAAAGAAGGGGGGTTTTGGGTGAAGTACGCTTGCAGTCTAAAATAAGCGAGGGGGGGTTGGGGGGCGCAGCCCCCCCCCTCATCTGCAGAGGTTCAAAATCACTCATGATTCATGATATCTTCTTCGCTTCTAATCCACCTGAAGCGTTTTCGTGTGCTTTCTCCCTTGTGTGTGTTGGAGACTGGGGGGGGCTCGAGTCTTGGATTTGAACCAAGTATGAGGGGGCGGGGCTCGTAATCTGGTTTTTGGTGATGTATGAAGGGGGTTACTTTTTTTACTTTTTTGCGGGTTAACAGAGGAGGGAGTTTGCAGTCCAAAACCAGAAGGGGGTTGGGGGGGCGCAGCCCCCTTGCAGAGCTTCCAAATCATTCATGCTTAAGTTTTGTTCTTCGCGTTTAGCCCCCTGAAGCATTTTTGTGTTGCTTTCTCCTTTGTGTGTGCTGGAGAAAGGTGGGGCTTAAAGTCATGGATTGAGGAAGACTGTAAGGGGACGCCTCGACGTCTTAGATTTGGACGACGTATCAGGGGAGGGGGATCTTAAGAGAGCACCCCCATTTGCACAGCTTCTGAATCACTCATGATGAATTTTAATTCTTCGCGTTTAACCCCCTGAAGCGTTCTCGTGTTGCTTTCTCCTTTGCTTGTGTTGGAGAAAGGGGGGCTTAACATCTTGGTTGTAGGAAGACTGTAAGGGGAAGGGGGAGGCTCGAAGTCTTGGTTTTGGACGAAGTATGAGGTTGGGGGGGGGTCGTAATCCTGGTTTTTGGTGAAGTATGAAGTGGGAGACGCTTTCATTAATTTTTTTCGCGGCTTAGCAGAGCGGGGCGTTTGCAGTCTAAACAGAGCGGTGGGGTTCCCCGAAGACTCCAAGCCGCCCCCCCCCGCCCCCCCATGGTCTTCCTAAATCCAGAACAACACCCCCCCCTTCATAGTCTTCCTAAATCCAGGACTGCAGGCCCACCCCCCCCCCCCCTCATCCTCTTCCTAAATCCAGGACTACCCGTTCGCCCGGGGGGGTCCCGGGCTATTGAATCGGACTCGGAGTTACCGGGCCCAGACCCTAAGATGAGGACGTCAACATGGTTTCAAACTCAAACTTTCAATGTATTCAAACTTCAAACTCTTCAAACTTACAAACCTTCAAACTCCCAAACTCTCAAACTTTGAGCATCTCAAACTTTCGAACTCCACGGCTCTCAAACTTTCAAACTTTCGAAATTTGAAAACTTCAATCCTTCAACCCCCCAAAGTTTGAAATGTTCGATATTTCAGTCTTCGAAGCTTTCGAACTTTCAAACTTCCTGGGTTTCAAACTTTCAAACTCCAAGCTTTCAAACTTTCGAACTCGAGCCTGAGGGCTGCTCTGTGAACCCCTACGCGTCTCCAGCGGTCCTTCTCCTTTTCAAACTTTCGAACTTTCAATCTTCGAAGCTTCAAACTTTCAAATTTCCTGGGTTTCAAATTTTCAAGCTCCAAACTCGCGCCAGCTTTCGAACTCGAAACTCTCAAACTTTCAAACTTCAAACTCTTCATTCTCCAAACTTTTCAAACTTTCAAACTCTCGAATCCCGTCCAACATGTACTACGTTCAAACTCTCAAAGATTCGAGTTCGAAAAAACCCACTCGTGACACCTCTCCTAATGTAGGGGCCTTAATAATTAATCATTAATTAAGGCCCTTACACTACCGCTACGATTCCCAGCTTGTGGACATCACGGCGAAGCTGAACCCTAAACCCTCAATCCCTAAACCCCAAACCCTCAACCCTAAAAGGTTTGGAAGCACCTCCAGAGCGTGCCACAGAACCGGGTCGCCCTGTCCTCCGTGACCACCCCGAAGGCAGGAAGCCGGGGAGCTGTAATATAGGGGCCTTAATAATAAGAAAAGGGGGTCCCTTTAAAGGGCTTTTTTACAGGGTTCTAATGAAGGATTTAGTATAGGGGCCTCAAGAATTGCCTCTACTATTTCGGGGGGTTCCTTATGACAACTATAGTATAGTAAACCCCTAAACCCTATTCTAATTAGTGAGGCAGGAAAGGGTCCTATCAAAGGGGAAAAGGAGGGACCCTTAGTAAGGACCCCTAGGTATATACCTTTGATCCTAGGAGCTGCAACCTCAAGGATTCTGTCGAGGAATCTGGGCGGGAAACACAGGGTGTTGGGCCCATTGGGCTGAGGGTTACTTGGAGGTTCATGGTTAGCTATAAGAGGGCTTATAAGTCCCTTAATATTGGTTATAACTATAGTTATCATACTTATAACCCTACTTACAACTCTACATATAATGAACCATGAACTTCCAAGTAACCCTTTGAAAGTCGTGCACTCCCACTTAATCTGCATCTGCAGCTCGAGTTTCTCGCCGGTAGAGCCCGCCGTAAACAAAGTGTTTGGTAGACTAGGGTCATGACCTCTGGGACGATGGTGAAAACTTCCAGGGCTGGAGCACACAACTTCTTGGTGATCGTGAGCCTGACAACGGTCTTCCTTTTTGCCGGCACTATTATGGGTTGGGGTGCTTTCTCCTCCATGCTACAGTCGGAGGGCTACTACAGTTATCTCTGCGAGTTGCCGGATCCGGCCCAGCCTTGCAGAAAGCAGTTGCAGGCGCTTAACAATGCATTCACAGCCGCAATTACCTTTCTCACTCTCACGTCGTACTTGAACGGTTGGCTCGTGGATATTGTGGGGCCCAAGACAGTCACCGGCATTGCGGGCTGTTTAAGCTGCCTGGGGCTTTCGGGCATCGCTTTGACGAAGGTCACTGGTTGGTCGAATCATGCAGAGGCCATCATCTTCCTCGTGACGATGGCGCTTGCCGGCTTCGGAGGAGCCATGACAATCAAAATCGGCTGTTTGGCTCCCTTCATGGTGCCTTCGTGCTTCACGCTCCTGATGGCAGTGAACAGCTGCGTTTTCGACGCGGGCACTGTAGTATATCCGCTCCTGAAAGTCTTGTACGACTTGCTGTGGACAGTGCAGGTGACAACCCTCATCGGTGTTGTCTACAACATCCTCCAGCTGGTCCCTAGCCTCTATGTCCAACTGGTGACCGTGCTGATGTTCACGGTTTGGAGAGCCTTCCTCTACAGCACAATCAGCTCTTTCAATGGACAGATCTTCGGCGTGAAGACCATGGGCCGTATCCAGGGCTTGGGCTTCTTGGTTGCCGGCCTCGCAAACTTACTCAATGGCACCCGTGTGGATGCAGCTATCCACTCTGGCGACTACACGAGTCTCCTCCTCGAGAACCTGGGCATGACGATCCCCTTCCCAGTCGTCTTCTACCTGTTGCAAAGGCAGCGCGCCAAAGGCGCGAAATCACCGGCGTCTTCGGCGGGCTCGCAGCAGCGGTCTACGACCAGCAGCCCATCCGAAATCATGTCCATGACAGAGGCACCATCCGGCCAAAGCTCCTCTGAGGAGATCTCTACCACAGGGAACGGCCCAGCAAGCAGCGGCGAACCCTGAAACTCTATGATCTTTTGTACAGCCCTAATGAATGCTGTCAGAAGAGTAGCAAACCCGCAATGATGTCACGTGCAAATGTTCTAGTGAGGTTTGCAGACTTCTTGTCTATAAAATATCATACGTTCATAATACTTTCTATATTTTGCAGCACATATTATAGTTAGTACATACATACAAGTGCATACATACATACATACATACATACATGTCAATCACCAAGCTCCGAAGTGGACCACCGTGTGCAGAATAAACGGCTGCATGAGGCCCCCGCCGGGGGACCTGCAGTCTTCAACTCTAAGATGTCTAATTGTGAGTTTCCGAAAGTTAGTGGTACCTTAGTTTGGGGTCCTTATAATGAGGATCCTACTGTGTTTAGGTTACTATATTGGGGTCCCCTGTTTTCGGAAATCCCCATTTGGGATGGTTGTCAAAATTACAGTCCCTTTTCGGGTCCTTAATGTAGTACGGCACCGAGTATTTAGGTTACCCAACAAGGGACCCTAATTTTGACAACTACCTATTTAGGTGCAGGGTTTGTGGTGGGCCGTAGTTTTGATCAATCATGATTTTTGGCTATCGGGTTGCACACCTTTGTCAAGCTGCAGGTGCGAAATTGCGGGCCCTCCTATCGGGTTTAATTCTGTTGGTCCGTCAGCTCAGTCTGACTGACGAATCCCATCCTACCCACCTTTGCCGGCTTTTTTTTTGCCCGTGAGCTGAAGCCGTGAATACATGTGTACAGGGTTGACTCACACGCCGGCTTCTGTACAGCTGCAGCGAGCAAGCGGTGCACTCTTGCAAGGTGCCTCTGGCTCGACACATGTGGATGCACCGAGAGTGAAAAGCAAAGTCCAAGCATATCGTCAGGCTCAAGCCCTGCTATATATGTATGTTAATATAAATATACGAATACGTATTCATCGGTAATGTGGATAATGCCCTGGCATTTCAAATCGATTTTTTGGGCCAGTGCTGTGTGGTCCTTACTGCCTGCACCATCATTGACGCCGTCGTTGCCTCCACCATAATGTTCGCTTCAGGCAATACATTACTAGATGGAAGCAGTAACGGTGTCATCACACACAGCATACTTGCACACGAAGAAGGAGAAAGAGCAATGCCAATAATTGGCAGTGTTAGCCGTACAGCTCAGTGAAGATTGCAATTAGCGGTATTCCCCTCTGCCCGCAACCCCAAAGCCGTGAGCCCTGAAACCCTGAAACCCCGAAGCCTAAAGCTGAGGTGCCCTCGGGGTCAATGAAGCAACGGGGAAAGCTTAAGTTCCGCAGCCTGACAGTCCACATCCAAGACCAGCTTTTCCTCTAAACCTGGCGCCCCGGCATGCCTAAACCCGAAAGCCTGAAGCATAAACCCCAAAGCCTAGCCCTCAGGTCCCAAACTCTCCTTGGCTCCTGCACCTCTAAGCTCCAGATCCGGCTATAGGGTAGAGTAGGGTCATGGCAGTACTTGATTAGGGTTTAGAGTTTAGGTCGTAGGATTATCAAGGTATCAATATTTTGTCGAAAACCAAAGAAGCGCTTCAAGCTTTTCTTCCGGATCTGCAGACCGTTCGCGATGCCTGGGCTGAGCTCCAAACCACGGGTTCAACCGAGGGCGTGGCGAAAACCGCGGTGCTGCATCTGGGACTGAAGGAGTCTAGGATGTAGGAGCTGAGGTTCAACTTGAGTTCATTCGTGATTTTCTTATTGGCTGTAAACTCAGGTTTTCAACTTTTGCGTTCTTGTAAGGTAGTCGATTCTGAAAGTTTCAACTTTTGTTCCCTTGGGTTCTGGGCCAGTGAGAAGGAGCTTAGGATAGTTCATTCGTGATTAAGGAGTTTAGGATGTAGGAGCTGAGGTTCAACTTAAGTTCATTCGTGATTTTTCCTGTTGTACATGGCGGAGATTGTTCCGAATAGTTACCAACAGCTTTCCTTCGGGCTTCATGTTACATGTACTTAAACTTTCCAAAATCCGCTTGTTTGTCGGGTCCTTATAAACTCCATACTAGGATATGTAATCAGAGCCTGCAAATTTAAAAGTCGGTTTGGTGGCTTAAGTTACAATACTTTTCCTTGAGGCTCCATGGTAGAAGTTACCCTAGACGCCCTAGACCCTATGTATACTCTAGTATGCCTCTGAAACTTACGCTTCGAACCACCCAGGAAGTCCGTCCTCAGCGAGCGTGCGGATCTCTTCGAGTTCACCGGGGATACCATCGAGCTCACCGAGGTGTCTTGAGGGGTTCAGGGTTTGAGGTTTTGGGGTTGGTCGAGGGTTTAGGGCTTGGGGTTAGGGGGTTTAGGGTTTAGGGTTTGGGGTGGAGGGTTCAGGGTTTATTTATGGTTTGGTTCAGCTTTTTGTTTGTGGTTTAGGGTGCGGGGGGTTCAGGGTCCATAGAGGTGTCACGGATCTGGGCTTCGGGTTTCTGAGTTTCAGGCTTCAGCTTAGGACCATGGGTTGAGCGTGTAGTGTAGGGGCCTCAATGATTACCTGTGCTATTTTGGGGGTCCTTTACAGGGTTCCTTAAAGGCGTCTATACGGGATCTATAGTAGGGTTCTATGGTTTCGGGGCCTTAATAGTTACCTGTACTATCTGGGGGTTCCTGACTGTAGTTATAGTATAATATACCCTAAAACCCTAGTAATCAGTAAGGCCCCTTTTTCCCAGAATCCCTTATTTGGGGCTTATAGGGTTTGTAGGATTTAGGGTTTAGGGTTTGGGCCCCAAAAGCTAGCGCGAAACCTCGCGAAAATTGAACCGGCTACGGTCCGCGAGGCTGCGCAGATGATGAATCCTACAGATGGCTTGCCGGCACCTGTCTTGCACTTATGGCAGCCCATTCTGACATGTCCTTCCTCCGTGTCTTAGTATTTCTTTCACTGTTTGTAGTTTTCACGCCTTCTTGCGCATTGTAGTACTGTAATACTGTAATTGTATTTTCAGGAGGGGGAGGTGGGTGTCCGTTACGGGCATTGGTTCAGGAATTTACAGCTTGGTGTGTATGTCAGTGTTGCTCTTTCCATCGGTGTGCCGCTGTTTGGGGTCCGTGGTTTATGGTCATATTCCTTTCGGCATCTGCGAAACTTCGAATCCCATACGGGTGGTTGTCAAAACTGTGGTCCCTTTTTGGGTCCCTATTATAGTACGACACCTATTATTTAGGGTACCCAAAAACCCTAAGGGTCCATGTACCCAAATAGTATATACATTGGCCCCAATGTACCTATATAGGGACTACTTTAAGGCCAATGTATATACTATTTGGGTACATGGACCCTTAGGGAAAGGGGCCCTAATTCTGACAACCCCCCAAAAAGGGACTCTGATTTTGATAATTTTTGTGTCCCTATTATAGTACGCCACCTATTATTTAGGGTACCCAAAATGGGACCTAAACCCTAAACCCTAAACCCTAAACCCTCATTTGTGACAGCCACCCAAATACGGCAAGACCCGGAAGAGGCCAATATCCTCACGGCCGATGGTGGCCTGATGGAGGACCCTGCCTTCGTCTGGCAAATGGGTTTAGGGTTTTAGGGGTTTAGGGTTTTAGGGTTTAGGTTAGGGTTTAGGGGTTTAGGGGTTTAGGGTTTAGGGTTTAGGTTCGGGTTTAGGGGTTCAGGGTTTAGGGTTTAGGGTTTAGGGGTTTAGGGGTTTAGGGTTTAGGGTTTAGGGGTTTAGGGGCTTAGGGTTTAGGGTTTAGGGGTTTAGGGTTTAGGGTTTAGGGGTTTAGGGTTTAGGGGTTTAGGGGTTTAGGGGTTTAGGGTTTAGGGTTCCAGAGTGACCAGCGTTTCTGCGTTGTCGGGTTTTAAACTCAGAATTTCGATGGTTGCGAGATAAGAGCACGTCGATGGGATATGGGGGCCAAACGATGGTGTTGCAAAGACTACTCGCCTACTACATACCTCCCATTGTTTTCCACATTTGCTTCCTTGTTTCGTCCCTTGTGTTCCGCAGCGGGTGGGGTTGTTTGTTTCTGTGCCGTGGTTCTTGTGTGCGTTATATGAAACTCTTGTTCCTGCTCTCCTCTTGTTCTTTGCCTCTCGCTCATTCCCCGGTTGGGAACCCAAAGGCTCCATGTACCCATATAGTAGGTACTTGGGCCTTAAAGGGGTTCCTATTTAGGTACTTTAAGGCCTAAGTATCTACGATTTAGGTACATGGAGCCTTTGGGGAAGGAAAGGAACCCCAACACTTCCCTGGATCCCGGAGGTCGGGTCAGAAGCCGCCACTCCCCCAAACCCAAGACCCGAGACTCCACACCCAAAACACGATAGCATAAAACCCTAAACCCTAAACCCTAAACCCTATAAACCCTAAACCCTGAGCTCCTGCAGAATCCTTGAACAAGGAGTCTGCGTGTTCTTGTACTGTAAGCAACTGCAGCTGGGTTACCATAATCTAGGGGCCGAAATATGGTACCTACACCATTTTGGGGGTCCTTCTTATAAGGGATCTATAGTAGGGTTCTATGGTATAGGGGGCCTTACCTATACTCTTTTGGGGGCGTCCTTATCATAGTTATAGCATAATGGGCCCCAAAGCCATATTCTAATTATTAAGGCCCCTAGATTACCATAATCGGGGCATGCAGGCGTTGCGGGTTCATGTACAGTAGGGTTTCGAGTCTAGGCATTTCTGCTTAAGTTTGCGACACCTCTAGGACTGAGACTCGAAGCCCTTAAAGCAAGCCCATGATCCCTAAGCCCAAGCTCAAAACCCTCCAAACGCCAGCCTTCAGAGAAGAACCCAAGAACCCTAAAACCGGTTGAGGGCTTCAGGGTTCAGGTCTTCAGGGCTTAGGGTTTGAGGCTTACGGTTTAGGACTTTTGAGTCTAGGGCTTTTGGATTAAGGTTTGGGGGCCGCGGGAGAGGAATGGGATGCCAGCAAGGGGGAGGATGCCTCTCGTCCTAAAGCCAGTGGCCTTTGGGTACATGTGAGGGGAGTGCGGGAATTTGCGGTCGGACAGTTTACAGGTTTATATGGCTTTACAGGGGAGTTGGATGTGGGTTGAGTCGGAGTTGTACGGATTGTATGGGTGTTGTGAAGGTTTCATGCTTGAAATTAAAGTAAGACCCTAAACCCCAAGCCGGGTCCCTCTGGCATTCAGGCGGTGCCGTTGAGTCCACTGCTCTCCGAGACTTCTCTGCCTCAGTTCGGTCGTCCCTTTCCCTTTTGCCACCTGGGTGGTTGTCAAAATTAGGGTCCCTTTTTGGGTCCTTATTATAATACGGCACCTAATATTTAGGGCACCCAAAAAGGGACCATAATTTTGACAACCACCCACCTCGAAGTGCACCTCGAAAAGGCCTTTGGGGAGCCCCTCGAGTTCGGAGCCTTGAGGATGGTTTAAAGACATTTCACTCATAAAACCCGGAAGATTGGCCCTGAAGGGTTTGGGGGTTTAGGGGCTATGGGCTGTTTAGGGGTCTAGGGGCCTTAAAGCCAAAACTCTACAGTCCTAAACCCCATCCCTACACCCTCGAGCCCCAAACTCCAAACCCTCAAGCTTTGCAGTCGCAAACCCTCGCCCCAAAAGGGCGATGCGGTCGTGATCGACGCCGCACCGGGAGAAGCGCCCCGTGCCGTCGGGCAGGTGGGGGTTTCGGGCGCAGAGCTATGAGGGTTACGGTTGGGGTTGGGGTTTAGGGTTTAGGGTTTAGGGGTTTAGGGTTTAGGGGTTTAGGGTTTAGGGTATTAATCAATTAATTCAGGAGTTTCGATGTCTTACTGGTAAACTGACTGGACGCTGCGGTTTCCGTGTATGTGGAACCAGCACTAAGACAAGTTGGTGAGAGACGTGGCCGGCAATGCCTCCTGCGTTTGTCTTGTGTACCATGAATGAGCATTGTTAGCACAACCGCCCGTGAGCTGTTGGAACTGCTCTTAAGATACCTACTGCTGTTGTAGCCATTCCGCGCTCGTTCTTCTCTTTCCCCCAGAAAGCCCTCACAACCGAAGCCCTTGAAGACCAGTGAAAGCACATATCCAGGTCCTTGAAACAGATTTACCAAAGTCGTAGTTGCTGTATACTCGTAACTGGAAGATGACCCTGGGACTAGAAATCCTAAACCTTGAACGCCAAAAACCAACAACTTGTATGCCATGAAGTAAGCGCCTGGGTAACTACCATTCTGATATCATTCCTTAGGGCTCCTTTTCTTTATCATCGTGTGCCACAAAGCCCTACTCTAAGTATTCAGGCACCTATATGAGCCCCAAAGCTTATGGAGAGCCCTGCGAGAGCCAAGCAGAGGATTTATTCGAGACTCCTCATTGTTGAACGCTCCACCGAAATTTTGGACTAAACCCTGAACCCTAAAGCCTGTAATGTAGAGATAGGACGGCCGAGATGTAGTATCCCCTCGCATGATGGGAAGGGCTCTCGGCAGCCTTCTGACAAGGACCCTGAAAGGCGACCCTGAGTTAAGAGAACTACCCATATCTGTCCTAATCTCGTTTCGATCTTATACCCCCAAAGCATTTTGTAGACTATTGAGGCTGATATGCAATGAGCAAGAAATCTGGAAAGCTGCGAGTTTAAGAGCCTGAACCTGATACCCTAAACCCTAAACCCCTAACCCCCTAAACCCTGAACCCTTAAACCCCAGACCCTAAACCCTAAACTCTGAACCCGATACCCCAAACCTAAAACCCTGAACCCTTAACTCCATACCCTAGAAGGGGCCCCCACCCTGTAACAGTAGTATGATTTGAATATCATAGGGCCACACTATAATCCTTATAGTCACTATTATAGGGTGGGGGCAGCTTCTAATCCATACCCCAAACCCGGAGCCGGCAGCTCAAATCCAAGGGCAAAAGGAAGGACCCTTAATAAGGACCCCTAGGTATATACCCCGAATATAGCTACTATATACCCATTATATATCCCATGATAGGGTAGGGGTCCCCCTTAAGGGTCCCTCCTTTTCCCCTTTGATCGAAGGTGGGGCCGGGTAGACTTCAGAAAAGGCAAACCCGCAGCAGCGCGGGGCTTGGCTCAGCGGGCGCCGAGGTTCAGGGTTCAAAGTTTCAGGGGTGGGTTTAGGCGTTTGGGGCTTTACGGCATCGTGCAGGTTCCGAGGTAAACTAGGAGGGGGGGGAGCTTGCATGAGCTTTGATTGCGCTTTAGGGCTTCAGATAGTTTTAGGGGTTCAAGCCATTGGGCCTGGGGAGGTAAGGTTTCAGTGGTTTAGGTTTTGGAGTTGAGCGCTTATGGTGCGCATTGACCTTACAATGCTTGCAACCCTCTAGAGCTTAAAACCCACACCGTAGACTGCAGGATCCACCGCGTCGGGTGAATGCAGTGGAGCAGAGCATGATTGTGTTGTTGTCAGCAAAAGGCTACACCCAGACCCACACCGCAGAAATCCTTATCCCTCAGCCCTATAAGCCCACACCCACCCCCACATCGCCAAGTGTGGGCTGCTGAGGTACATATTGCCCGCCTGGCAAGGGCAAGGGCAAAGGCCCGGTACCAGATGTTCTGTAGCCGAAGAGACCTGGCTTTCTAGGGTTCCTTATTTCGATTTCTTAAGTTTAAGAAATTGAAGGGCTCGATTTCTTATTTTGGGGGTTCTGGTAAGGGCTGCTTACCAGCTGGGCAAAAAGCGATGGATATAGTGGCGTTTCAGGACCCTGGCGGCTGCCGCGCCCGAGTAGATAAGCACATGAGTCTGAGTGGAAAGTGCTGTTGTCTCGAATCCTCCCGTGCTTCCATTTCTTGGTTTGCTTTCTAATGGTTTGGCACCGAGCTTTTGGAAACTCCCTCGGTTTCTTGTGTTTTCTGCGCGAACAACACCAGCGAAGACAAAATGAGAAAGAGCAAAACAAGAAATTGGCACGCCGAGCCCAGGGTACCCTGGATTTCTTTTTTCGAGTGTGCGCATTATACATGTATGTATGTATGTATGTATGTATGTATGTATGTATGTATATATATATATATATATTTTTGAAACTCGCGTGGCTGTCCGAGGGGCTCAATTTCTTAAAACCAGTGATTTCTTAAGCAGTGCTGTTGCTGTAGTTCAAAAATCTTAAGTGCGCAAATACGAACCATGGGTTGCTTCTTAACGCGGTTCCTACGCTAGCAATCCCTGCATCTGAATCCCTAAAGCCTCACCCGAACGCCAAACGCCTTGACCCTTGAACCCTCTATGGGGCGTCATTGCACTTTAACAAAACCCTTTATAATCCAACCCTAAACCCTAAACCCAAAACCCTAAACCCTAAACTTACCCTTTCTAGGAGCCCTTATGGAAGCCTTTCAGGAGCCTTTCAAAGAACCGACAAAGACACACACACACACACACACACACACACACACACACACACACACACACACACACACACACACACACACACACACACACACACACACACACACACACACACACACACACACACACACACACACACCAACACACACACACACACACACCAACACACACACACACACACACACACACACACACACACACACACACACACACACACACACACACACACACACACACACACACACACACACACACACACACACACACACACACACACACACAACCACACACACACACACACACACACACACACACACACACACACACACACACACACACACACACACACACACACACACACACACACACACACACACTTTCATGTCATTGGCCTTTTGCACGGACGATGCAGCACGAGTTGTGGGATGTTCCCTTATCAAAGAGGGGATTCTGGGGGTTGAGGCGCAGGGCCAGTTTGGGTGGTTGGGGTTTAGAGTTTAGGGTTTAGAGTTTAGGGTTTAGGGCGAGGGTTCCAGAGTTGAGGGATCATGGCGGGTTCAGAGTTTAGGGCCCGGGTGCTAGGGTGGAGGGAGGCCGGCCGACGTTATCGGGCACCTGGCTTCAGGTTCAGCGTTGACATTTCGCCGAGACCTATAAACCCTTATTACCTATAGTATTTTCGGTGTTCCCCTTATATAGTATAATTGGGCCCAGAACCCTGTTTCATTTATTAAGGCCCGTACATTAAGTTCGCGAGGGAAGCACGGCTTCTTCCCCGATCTCTTCTACCATAAACCTTAAACCCTAAACCCCTAAACCCTAAACCCTAATCCCTAACCCGTAAACCAGCCCTAAGTTCTTCAGGGAAGCACGGCTTCTACTCCGATCTCTTCTGGACGCCTTTGATCGCCCAAGCCCTGACGATCGAGCGGAAGAAGGACTCAGAGATGGCTGGGGCCTTGAATGTCGGTTTAGGGTTCAGGGTCTAGGGCATTGGGATTAGGGTTTTAGGGTTTAGGATTAAGTGTTTAGGGTTTGGGGTTGAATTCCACAGGTTCTTTTTCCACTTACTAGGTGTTAAAAGGTACTTTAGGTTAAGTTGCCATAAACGAAAATCGTCATTCTATATCCCTATTAGGGGCGGCTTGCACGAAGCTCGCGTCACTCTAGAGCCCTATAGCGCCTTGACAGCGAATATTGGGGGTGCGCTTAAGCGTCGTACATCAGATGTTTCCGCAAGCAGTTGTGACGTGGTGAACACTCCTCTGAAAAAGCGATCTCAAACGGAATGCGATACCCGTATCAAGCACGCAGCAGGAAGCCACAGCCCAACACAGAAATTGCACCGTGCGGAGATGGCTTGGGAATCATTGTGACATAACAGTATCGGCAGAATGCTGTAAAATGGCCAGAACGAGCAAGACATTGTGCACAGACCGTCTTGGTCATTGCTCAGCCCTCCATGTCACGACTCACGACTCCCTGCGAAGTTTTACACTTGGCACATGTAGGGTGTTGCAGGGATTTGGTTCCACTATATCGCTATAGTCTATAGAATACACAGCAAACCTATTCTGATTGTTAAGGCCCCTGTTCCATAGTAACCCCAATCGTAGTCCTTATCCAGAACAAATATGCAGGAATACCGGGGCTTCCCTACGGCTTAAGCACTCGACCCTGGTACTTAGAAATAAATTTTAATTTCCTGGTTATTCTAATCCCTAAGAAACACCTAAAATTATAATGTTTGCTAGGGTTCTAAGTTCAGTATAGAAACTTAAGCCCCCACCAGGTGCGTGCTTTGTTCACTGCCATTGAGATGCACAACGGGAAGTGCGTTACACTTTCACAGCCGCTTGGGGGCAGTTTCTGAGAAGCGGAATCGTTGTTCGGTGATCAAGCTCCACTGTCTGGGATAGAGAAGAGTGCATGCATGTATTTATTCCGGGACCTTACTTTGTTGATTCGACAAAGGTTTTACTTAGGACTTCTGTGGTTCCCAGGTTCGGGATTGATGGCTTGCGCCATCGCTTTTTTTTCGGTGGCTTTGGGTTCAGGTTTCAGGCTAACTGCGGCATGTGCACACGGTTGACCGATGAAGGGTTACTGTTGGGCAGTTTGTATCTAGAACAAGGGGATTCCCATGGAGCTCCTCCGCAGCCCCGGTATAATGGAAGTCTACAAACTGCCAATCGTAGTCCTTAAGGTTTCTGATGCTTGTCCGGTAACCATGTACCCCAAAAGTATCTCGGTTCTCTTCTCACTGTTAAGGTCCCCACATATTGTTCGCCTTAGTTCATTTTTTCAGGTCGCCTGACCTGTCTCTTTGCCCCACCGGACAGATCTCCACTAAGCTTTTCGAGCATGCATAGTTCCCGTAGTTTCTTAGGGGTACTTAGAATTATTTTTAATTTTTGGTGATTATAATCCTTTAGAAACAGCTAAAATCATAATTTTTGCTAGGGTTCTAAATTCAGTATAGGTTTCAGGAACATGGCACCCTGAACTCCTGAACCTCACCGCCAGCATCCCGAAACAATCTAAGCCGCAAGCCCAAACCCGAACCCAGAGATTCCAATATCCCTTAATTAAGGAATATACCTTAAATTAGTAGGGATCCCTAATATGATTTAAGGAATATTCCTTAATTAAGGGATATTGGAGTCTCTGGGAAGCCCTGAACCCTAAACCCTAAACCCTAAACCCTAAACCCTAAACCCTAAACCCTAAACCCTAAACCCTAAACCCTAAACCCTAAACCCTAAACCCTAAACCCTAAACCCTAAAGCCCCAACGCCCTGGCTGCTAACCGTTGGACCTGGTGCTAAAACCTATTGGCCGACTTAGGGTTCCTTAAGGGCCCCTTTAAAGGGATCTATAGGGATTCTATAAGGGTATAGGGTTTAGGGTTTAGGGTTTATAAAGGGAGCTCCAGAAAGTTGGAATATGGTTTCAGGGTAGGATAGATTATAATTTACCATAAAGGGTTTAGGGTAATCATATTCCAACTTTCTGGCTTCTACTGTAAACGGAAACCATGAGCCCGATAAACAGTCCCAAAACCACCCGAAACATGGAAACTTTATACAGGGGCTCAGTAAGTAGAACAGGGTTTTGGGGTACATTATAGTATGGTTTTAACAAGGAGCCTCAAGGAACAAGATTGGCAACTATTTCGGCATCTATGTTTACCCATAGGCTCCATAGAAGCTCCTTCTTGAGACTACCTTACAGGATTCTAAATACGAACCCCAAAACCCCAAACAGGGAACTGCTATGGAGCCTAGGTTTAAAGCAAGCAAGGCCCCCCCGCTGCCTTCCCAAAGCGGGATCCGCGAGGTTGGGATCTGACTACAAGGTCTCCCAGCTGAAGAAGGCCCAAAACAGTAACAGGGCCTGCGAAACTTGGGCAGTTTAGGGTCTAGGGTTGTCTTGCGGCGGGAATTGCAGCAGAAGGTGTTGTAGGGGTATGGCCGTCTCGCCTCGGTTTGGGGTTTAGGCTTATCCTTTGCCGGGAATTTAAGTATAAGGTGTTGTAGGGGTGGGGCCCCCGGGGTTTAAGGTTTCCGGCTTAAGGGGTTAACGTTTCAGGACTTGGGCTTTCAGGTTTCGGGGGTAGGCTTTGGTGAGATTTCATGGTTCGATTTAGGACATCATTGAAGCTACCATAGGAGGGGTCATTTCGGAATAACAAAGAGTACGCGTTCTTTCGTCTGGTATCTACACCAGACCCTCTTGAGCAAAGCTTCCTAAGCAACAACTCAGTGTGGGAAGGGTTCGGTTGCGTCCCAAACCCCTAAACCAATCCATTCTGTGGCTGAAGGGGAGCTCAACATCACTTAGAGAAAGGAGCGTTCCCAATGCTACCCCGGCAACAAGCAGCGTCAGGCCCCAACACCCCAGAAAGCCAGACTCAGAGCTTTGGTTAGACGGCCAAGACTCCACGAACCTTTTAGGTCCCCCCACAGGTTTCGGGTCTTGTGGGCTTTGGTGAAGGGTGTAGAGTTGAATTTCCCTAAGCTCTACTGTCAACGCTGCGTGTATAGCATTTTTTGGTGGGTTCTTGGGGGGTTGGATCCTTGATTCTGTCGCCAGTAAACCCTGAACCCCTAAACCGCAAACCCCTAAACTCAAACCCCCTGCCTGCACCGCTCCTAACCCCAAAATCCCGAAAATGCTAAACCCCTAAGACCCTTTCCTTAATCCCTAAACTTTACTAAACCCTTAAACCCATGGCCAGGACAACATGTGGAAGAGCGTCCGGCTGCTTGACATCCTTGAGGTGCACAGACTCTGTTAAGATCTTTTTGTGGGATTTAGGGCTTTGGGCTTAGGGTTTCGGCTTCTTTTTCTGGGATTTAAGGCTTTGGGCTTCGGGTTTCGGGTTCTTTTTCTCGGATTGAAGGCTTTGGGCTTAGGGTTTCGTGTCGTATGGGGTTCTTCTGGGCCTAGGCAGGTTTTTATGGGGATGCAGGTTTGGGTTTGGAAGTTTGGTAAGGCCTTAGGGCCTTATGGGGCTTTGCGGGATCATTTCAACTTGGCTTGACATTGCAGGTCAGCGTTCGGCTTTAGTATTTCAGGGCATCGGGATGGGGGGATATAGACTTTCAAGCTTGACGGTGCAGAGTTCGAGGGGTACTGCTGTCTCGGAGTTTGGGCGCGAGTTTCCAGAGTCTGACGGGTGGTTTAGGATTCGGGGATTCGGGTCTAGCGTTGCAGGGAGGTCGGCACAGGGGAGGCCCCCAAACCGATCCAAGAATGCCCTGAGCCCTAAACCCTAAACCCCTAAACCCTCAACCCTAAACCTTAAACCCTAAACCTGAGCGTAAACTCTCAAAACGAAGCCTTAAACATGAAACTATAAACTTGCCTTTTGAACCCTGCGCCCTCAACTTCTGTGCTTTTGCGAAGCCCTCAGCCTTAGACTGCAAACTCCGAGCCCTGAATCAAACGAAGCTTGAACATCGACAGTAAACTCTAAACCACGATTCAGAGTTTAGGGTTTTGGGCTGAGTCGCACAAGGGTAGGTTTTAGTGTAAAGTTACGTCTGTGGTTTTTTGTTGCGATTTGTTTGCTTTGCTCGATTCGTTTTTTCATTCTATTGTGGCTCTAATGCGAACTCTCACTCTCCCCACCGCAGCCCCGCTCCTAATGTAGGAACCTGATTAAGGAACTTTGGGCCTTTATTGGGGTTCCTTCTATGAATCCTACTATTTCGGGGTTAGAGGCCCAGGTTTTTTTTTGATGAGGTTCCTACAAAGACCCTTCTGTGCCAGGCATACGAGGATATCTTCGAGTTGGTTCCGGACGGCTCCAGTGGTGGATGGCAGGTGCCTGTCTGGGCTTACACTGATGTTGTCGGACTGCAAGACTACAGTAAACCCCATAAAGTTGGAAACCGGGTTAAGGCCAAATAGTGCTGGGATTCCCTTTACATTACTCTTAGGGATTGGGGCTATTGGCTTTCCAACTTTTGGCTTCTACTGTAAATCCTGCAGCCTAAAGGCTGCTTCGAGCTCGACGTCTTAAGTATATCAATTTTTCGATTGGTTCAGGAAATCATAGAGATTTGGGCCCCTGACCCTGAACCCTCAAGCCTACAGCCCAAAGCCTAAAACCCTCAAGCCCGAAAGCAAAACGAGGATTCCAGGCAGTCTCGGTGGCAGACGGAATCAGGTGTTCCAATATTGCACAACATTCAGTCCCTCAACCCTCAAACCCGAAGCCGTAAACGCCAACACCCAAACCCCAAACCCTAAACCCTAAACAAAAAAACCCAGAACCCCAAAACCCTAAACCCCCAAACCCCTAAACCCTAAACCCTAAACCCTAAACTGAACCCAAAGACCGAACTCCTGAACCCTTAGACCCGAGCCTCGAACCCAGAGAGCCCAATACCCCTTAATTAAGGAATATACCTTAAATTATATGGGGATTCATATCATGATTTAAGCTATATTCCTTAATTAAGGGGTATTGGGCTCTCTGGGAAGCACTCTTCCGCAGGTCAAGCTTCAGCCGGGCGCTGAAGCGGCTCTGCCGGATGCCGAGGTGCCTCATAGTTTAGGGTTGTTTAGGGTCGAGGGTTTGGGGTTGTTTAGGGTTTGAGGGTTTAGGGCCTAGGGGTTTAGGGCTTTCTGTTTGTAGTATATTTCTGTGATATACCGCTATATTCTGCTGTGTTCTGCTATGCTATGTTATATGATATTCAACCAAGGGCTTGCGGCTTAGCGACCCGAAAGGCTTTAGCGTTGAGGGTTCTCGGTTAAGGGTCTAGGGTGTGCTTTCCTCTCCCAGGGCGTAAATCTACGCCCTGATAGTGTAGCTTCTTTTCTGGCTGGCCGGTCTTCTGACAAGTAAACCTTTTTACAGGGGGGGTCAACCAAATCAACCAAAACAAGTAGCTACAGCTCCTAACCCTTCGAACCCAAGGTCCCTAAACTGCGCCGAAGCCAGCAGGCAGTGTTGCCCGTAACCTTTGAGCTCCAACATGTAGATTCTGTGTGTCCGGATATACGGATTGTGCAAGAGCGGATACATGCACATATCCACTGTTTGTTTAGTTATCCACATATATATATATATGTGTGTGTGTGTATATATATATATATATATATATATTTACACCAAAGCCTTCACTGCTGCAGGAGTTCATGGAGAGAGAAATGAACGAGCAGGTGGACTTGCAAGGGCTTAGGGAGCTGGAGGTCCAAGGGTATACGAGTAGTTTACGTTTTGGCATATGCCCGCTTGCATGTGCATTGCAATGCGACGATACTAATACTATTCTCGCCTTGTAGACTGGTCCGGAGTCTGGTGCTATGTTCTAGGATTGCAGAGGATAGTCGCGTTCTGCACCTTCGTCACGTAGGTGATGCTCCCAGGCATAGAGTGGGGCTTGTCAATGAGGTAGTCCTCAACCAGTAGCACGATACTGTACATCTACGAATATGCAACGCTTGAAAGTGTTTCAGGCATGTGTATCACAAGCCCGCATCGAGTATGAGATGCCACCATGCGGGGATAATGAGGTAAACACGACTTGCACATGTCATTGAATCATTGAGGTTCTCTTTGATCTCCAAAGTTTAGCTTTTTGGACTACGAGTGTTCGCAGGCTGCTGTTTTAGATATGCCGGTCGTGTTGAAGTTCCAAAAGCCCTCCGCCCTACGGTCCGATTCGGAACCCCCTCAGCCCCAAATCCCCCACAACCCGAAAGCCAAGATCGTAAACCCCAAACTCCATGGCCACCACCAGCACCTAAAAATGTAAATCTCGAGGACACACCCACAAAAACCACCACACCTTACCAAGCCACCCTATAAAACCGTAAGGCCTGAGCCCCACATCCCAGGAGCTGGACTCCTAGATGCTTGTTACTCTAAATCGTGCCCCTGGCTTGAAAACCTTTCAAAGCTGGCAGAGCCACGAGAAGTGAATCCTCATAAAACCGTGTAAAACATCAAAAGGCCCTTTATAAAGCCACCTACAAACCTCAAATCCTAATAAAGCCCCGAAACATGAAACCCAAAAAAACCCTCACACCCTAAACGGCCCTAAGTCCAAACCTTAAAACCCTAAAGCCCTAACAGCCTAGTATCACCCAAAACCTTAAAACTCTAAATCCGTAAGGCCTAACGTCACCCTAAACCCTCAGACTCTAAATCCGTAAAGCCTAATATCACCCGAAGCCTTAAAACTCTAAACCTCAAAAGCTTCATATCGGCACGCAGGAGGCCTTGCCCCCAAGGATCGACAATCCAAAGTCGCAGCGGCTTGGTTGGCCTCGGGGGCTTTCATGGGATGTGGCCCACTGATCTCTTTTGTTTTGTTTTTGGGGTGGGGGGCAGCACTGTTAAGTGCAAGCTTTGAAGGCCGAAGCACAGGTTGAACAGATACACAGCTGTTCGTATTCCAGGTTGGACCGTGGGTGATCCGCCCTGTGACCCTAAAGTGTAGTCTTCAAACCCAGGTTTGAGAAGATGCAAAGTCTTCGCATCGAGCTGCTCTATGCCTTAGCCCGGCGTGGGAACAAGGCGCGGGTGGGTGGGGTAGGCGAGTCCTGTTCGGTGCTTGGGATGTTTGCTATGTCGCTGGGATCGTGCGGTGCTAGTACTTAGACTTGTAGTATGAGGAGCAGTGACGGCAACGCAGTACAGCAACTACACTAGCAGAAGCAGTAAAGCTTGGTCACATTGCTGTAGTCAGCACCGTTTAACTATTACCACTCCTATCATGCTCTTCATCATGTTCAACACTATCAACTTCTTCGTCGTCATCAGTACCATCTTCGTCACCCTCACCATCACCATCACCATCACCATCGCCATCGCCATCGCCATCACCGTCATCATCATCGTCACCATCACCATCACCATCACCAGCATCACCATCATCATCATCATCATCATCGATTGCCATCGCCATCATCATCATCATCGCCAATTTCATCACAGTTATCATCTTCATGGCCGTCATAGCAATCATCATCGTCGTTGTCAGTATCGCCACCACCGTCATCATTGCCATCCTCACAATGAAAGCACCAGTGACGAGCATGTTTACGGCAAGAACAGAAAGCTGAATTGATGCCGTTGAATATGCACGCCTCATCGGGGGCGTAGGTTGAGACGAAGGTGCTAGTTGATTCTTTAACATGTCAGTGTTCAGGACTTTTCGATTTGAATCCCGAATTTCGAAAAGGCTGTCAGCTTCAAGGTAATATAACTTCTACTAGAAAAGTCTTAAACAACATGCAAAAACTATATATAAACCTATACCCTTACCCTAAACCCCAATAACATCCTAAACCCTGAGGCTCCCTGCCTCCGCCCCCTTGAGCCGACACCCAGAGAACCCAATACCCCTTAATTAAGGAATATCGCTTAAATCATAATATGAATCCCCTTATGGTTTATATAAGGTATATTCCTTAATTAAGGGGTATTGGGCATGTTTGTTTCATGAAAAATATGAATCCCCTTATGGTTTAAGGTATATTCCTTAATTAAGGGGTATTGGGCATGTTTGTTTCATGATAAAATATGAATCCCCTTATGGTTTAAGGTATATTCCTTACTTAATAGGTATTGGGCTCTCTGGGCAGGTGCAGCTACAAGAGCTCGGCCAGGAGCCGCGCGTGCAGCGCGTAAAGCAGTCTTTGCACCAGGCAGGGGGAGGGCGTGGGGTGGAGGTTTATGGGGTTTGAGGGGTTTAAGGGGGAAAGGGGGTGTAGGGCTTCGGGATTTACGGGGGCTTGAAGGAGCTTGACATAAGGTGAACTAAAGGGTGGTAAGTCTGGTGTGGCTGGGGGTTTGGCACTGCTTTTCCGAGTCACGCCGGCCGCTGTTCATGCCCAGAGTCAAAAATCCGAAAGCTCCAAAGCCCAAGCTTTCACCTGTCAGGCCCAACCCAGATTATCAGGTGCATCCTCGAGGGGTGCTATTTGGGAGTTTCCGAAAATAGGGGGACCCTAATACAATACCCTAAATAGCGGGATCCTTATTATAAGGACCCCAGAACAAGGTACCCCTATTTTCGGAAACTCCCATTTCCCAGTTTGCAATCCAACGCGCCAAACTCTTCGACCCTAAACCCCTGAAGCCTAAGTCCTCAACCAGACCCAGAGAGCCCAATACCCCTTAATTAAGGAAAAAGGATTAAATCATGATATGAATCCCCTTGTAATTTAAGGTATATTCCTCAATTAAGGGGTATTGGGCTCTCTGGGGACCCAGCGGACCCCCGGCTACCGCAAAATCCTTCACCCCTGATGCCTGCCTTATAAGAGGCCAAAAAGGGGTTAATTAGCCTATGGGGGTTTAGTAGGGATTAGGGTTCCCATAATAGGGTTCATACTAAGGAATCACTACCCGGAGAATCTTAAACCACCCTTTTGGCTTCCCATCATACCATTCCCAAGCAAGCACAAAACAAGAGCTGCAGCAATGAGACAGATCTTTCATCTGCAGCATGCAGATGCCAAAACGACTTAGCCTCGAATTCTCAAGTCTCCCAGTTCAGCTTAGGGTTTCACGTTAAAGGGTTCGTGGGTTTAGGGTTCGGGGCTTGGGTTTTAGGGTTTAGGGTTCGGGGCTTGGGTTTAGGTTCCGAAACCACCCTCCCAGGCCAAGAAGCTCATCGAGTTCATCCGGATGTTTCCATCCAACTTCAAGGCGGGCATCGCGGGGGCTGGGGGCTTTCCGGGCGACTTTTGAGTTTTGGGGCCGTGGGAGCTTGGTGGGCCTTTTTTCGACGAGGCGAGTGTTTAGGGTTTAGGGCTTTGAGGGTTTAGGGTTCAGGGTTTAGGGTTTAGGGTTCAGGGTTTAGGGTTTAGGGTTCAGGGTTTAGGGTTTAGGGTTTAGGGGGGATGAGGGTTTGTTTGCACCGGCATAGATTGTTGAAACCTTGTATAAGCCTTCAGATTTACACCAGCAGCCAAGAGCCTTTGCCAAACATCAAAGCCCTGAACCTCCAAACCGGTAGATGCACGAAACCATACCTCGACGTCCCGGATCCGAAGCACCTGACCTCCAAACCCCCGATATATATATATATATATATATATGCTACCCCCCCCCCCCCATTGACCTACCTTTGTTGGGGGTCTCAGGAGCAATGAGTGGCAATGATGCATGGGCAAGGGAGGGCCTATTTTTGTCGTCATTATTTTTTTGCACCTGTGGCTTTTTTCGCGTGTTTGTTATAGATAGTACTAGTACTGGTAATAGTAAAGAGTAATAGAGTAATACAATCATAGACTAATAGACGAATAGACGAATAGACTAATAGACAGAATAAACTAGTAGACTAATAGACTAATAGACTAATAGACTAATAGACTAATAGACGAATAGACGAATAGACTAGTAGACTAATAGACTAATAGACTAATAGACTAATAGACTAATAGACTAAACAAACTAAACAGACTAAAAGACGAAAAGACTAATAGAGTAATAAAGTAACAAAGCAATAAAGCAATAGAGCAATAGAGCAATAGCAATAGAGTAATAAAGAAAGAGTAATAGTACAAGAAACAGTGCGCGCGAAGCGCGTGACCCGCAGGCTTTGCTCCATGACTTTATGCATTGGTAATGGTAATAGTAATAGTAATGGTAAGAGTAATAGTGCTGCATAGTAATAGTAAAGCAGTACCAGCAACAGTAGCAATAGCAGTATTAGTAGTACGAGTAGTAGTAGTAGTAGTAGTAGTAGTAGTAGTAGTAGTAGTAGTAGTAGTACTAGGAGTAGGAGTAGGGATAGTAGCAGAGTAATAGAGTCATAGAGTCATAGAGGAAATAAAGTAGATAGAGTAATAGAGTAATAAATAGAGTTAGTGGAGTAGTAGAGTAATAGAGTATTAGAGTAATAGAGTAATAGAGTAATAGAGCTTTTGGAGTAAGAGAGTAATAGAGTCATAGGGTAATAGAGTAATAGAGTCATAGAGTATAAGAGTATGAGAGTAACAGAGTAACAGAGCCCAGGGCCCCAAACAAACAAAAAAAAAATGGCAGCAGAAACAGAAAACTAATGTGGCCAGATATTCTCGGCCCCAAGTTCAAGACTCCAAAAGATTGAGGCCTCTCAGCACTTTGGAACTGTGAGAGCTGCAAAACCTGGAGCGGCCCCAATCTTTTTGAGATTCAAGACTCAAAAAGATTGAGGCCTCTCAGCACTTTGGGACTGTGGGAGCTCCAAAACACTGAAAGGCCTCAATCTTTTTATGATTTTGAAGCCAAAACGCTGGGAGGCCCCAAAAGATTCAACAGACTCAATCTTTTGGAGGTCTTAGGAAACTAGCCTTAAAATCAATAAGATTGAGGCCTCTCAGTGTTTTGGAATCTGGAAGCTGCAAAACACTGAGAGGCCTCAATTTTTCTGAGGTTCGGGATTCCAAAAGATTGAGGCCTCTCAGTGTTTTGGAATCTGGAAGCTGCAAAACACTGAGAGGCCCCAATCTTTTTATGATTTTGAAGCCAAAACGCTGGGAGGCCCCAAAAGACTCAAAAGACTCAATCTTTTGGAGGTCTTAGGAAACTAGCCTTAAAATCAATAAGATTGAGGCCTCTCAGTGTTTTGGAATCTGGAAGCTGCAAAACACTGCGAGGCCTCAATTTTTCTGAGGTTCGGGATTCCAAAAGATTGAGGCCTCTCAGTGTTTTGGAATCTGGAAGCTGCAAAACACTGAGAGGCCTCAATTTTTCTGAGGTTCGGGATTCCAAAAGATTGAGGCCTCTCAGTGTTTTGGAATCTGGAAGCTGCAAAACACTGAGAGGCCCCAATCTTTTTATGATTTTGAAGCCAAAACGCTGGGAGGCCCCAAAAGACTCAAAAGACTCAATCTTTTGGAGGTCTTAGGAAACTAGCCTTAAAATCAATAAGATTGAGGCCTCTCAGTGTTTTGGAATCTGGAAGCTGCAAAACACTGCGAGGCCTCAATTTTTCTGAGGTTCGGGATTCCAAAAGATTGAGGCCTCTCAGTGTTTTGGAATCTGGAAGCTGCAAAACACTGAGAGGCCTCAATTTTTCTGAGGTTCGGGATTCCAAAAGATTGAGGCCTCTCAGTGTTTTGCAATCTGGAAGCTGCAAAACACTGAGAGGCCTCAATTTTTCTGATTTTGGTTATAGTTTCCCAAGACCTCCAAAAGATTGAGTCTTTTGAGTCTATTGGGGCCTCCCAGCGTTTTGGCTTCAAAATCATAAAAAGATTGGGGCCTCTCAGTGTTTTGGAATCTGGAAGCTGCAAAACACTGAGAGGCCTAAATTTTTCTGAGGTTCGGGATTGCAAAAGATTGAGGCCTCTCAATGTTTTGGAATCTGGAAGCTGCAAAACACTGAGAGGCCTCAATTTTTCTGAGGTTCGGGATTCCAAAAGATTGAGGCTTCTCAGTGTTTTGGAATCTGGAAGCTGCAAAACACTGAGAGGCCTCAATTTTTCTGATGTTGGTTATAGTTTCCCAAGACCTCCAAAAGATTGAGTCTTTTGAGTCTTTTGGGGCCTCCCAGCGTTTTGGCTTCAAAATCATAAAAAGATTGAGGCCTCTCAGTGTTTTGGAATCTGGAAGCTGCAAAACCCTGAGAGGCCTCAATTTTTCTGAGGTTCGGGATTCCAAAAGATTGAGCCGTCGTAGTTTTGCAAGCGCCCAGCGTTCAATGGCTGCGAGGCCTGAATTTTTTTGGTTTTGGATACAGTCCTCCCTCGCCTCCGAAATTGAGTCTTTTATGAACACTAGGTCCTTTGGAACCCGCTCCATTCGGTACACCCGCCCGACCACCTTGCCTTTCAAAAAGACCAAAGGGTGGTCCCTGGGGGGGGGTAAACCATATATATATATATATATCTTATATTATATATACTTATTTTCTATTATGTTATATATATATATATAATATATATATATATATATATATATATAATGAAACCAGGTGACAGCAGATGATTCCCAGATGCTGATCGAAGTCACGTCGACCAGTGTGTCCGTAGTGGCCTCAGCCTTCATGCCAATCTCAGGGGTTGAACGGGATTTTTGTGGGGTGTAAAGGGTTTCCAGACGCTTTATAGCCCTTTGTTCTATCAATGATTCTTCGTAAGGGTTACTTATGAGAGGAACGCTGAGACGCAGAGATCCCTCAATGCTGATCCTAGGACCAGTCGATGATCGACCGAGCCATACAGCGGTTGAACCAGGACCGAGAAGGCAGCCCCCCTTTGGGATGTGTTGGCCGGTCGTAGAAACGAGCGCCTTGTTCCACCTCGTCTTCTCCTTAGTAGTGATGGGGCTGACAGCCTGCATGGTGTTCTTGTCGCTGTTTGTATGCACAATCTACTGTTGGTCTTGTTGCTAGTTTTGCTACTACCACTACTGCTGCAACAACAACCACAACAATAGATACTACTGCTGCCACTACGTCTACCACTACCACTACCACATTACCACTCCTGCTCCTGCTCCTCCTCCTGCTGCTCCCGCTGCTCCTGCTGCTCCTGCTGCTCCTGCGCCTCCGCTGCTCCTGCTGCTCCTCTGCTCCTGCTGCTCCCTGCTTGCTATTGCTAAACCCCCACACTGCTACTGCTACTGCACCTGCCATCTGCAACCCGCTAACCCGCTTCTGCTAATGCTACTGCTCCGGCTGCTGCTGCTGCTGCTGCTACTGCTACTGCTACTGCTTACTACTGGCTTTGCTACTGTCTACTGCGTACTTGCTACTGCTACTGCTCCTGCTGCTCCTGCTGCGTAACTGCTACTCCTGCTGCTACTGCTACTGCTACTGCTAACTGCTATCTGCTAACTGCTAACTGCTACTGCTACTGCTACTGCTACTACTACTACTACTACTACTACTACTACTACTACTACTACTACTACTACTACTACTACTACTACTGCTACTGCTACTGCTACTGCTACTGCTACTGCTACTGCTACTGCTACTGCTACTGCTACTGCTACTGCTACTGCTACTTCTACTGCTACTGCTACTGCTACTGCTACTGCTACTGCTACTGCTGCTGCTACTGCTACTGCTACTGCTACTGCTACTGCTACTGCTACTGCTGCTCCTGCTCCTGCTCCTGCTACTGCTACTGCTTCTGCTGCTGCTGCTACTGCTACTGCAAAAACGGCACTGCACCTGCAACCGCTACCGCTACTGCTACTCGACTGTCTTCCTGCTGCTGCACTGCCCTGCTGCTGCTGCTGCTGCTACTGCTCCTGCTGCTGCTACTGCTCCTGCTGCTGCTACTGCTCCTGCTGCTGCTGCTGCTACTGCTCCTGCTGCTGCTGCTATTGCTACTGCCACCACTCGTCCTTCTGCTTCTGGTGCTGTGACGGTGCGTCAGGCCGTGGTTGTAGCGGTTTGGTAGTCCACAGAAAGCTTGTGCCAGGCGACAGAAGGGGTGGCAAGGGCGGCCGCGACGGCGGCAGGGGAGGCCACAGGGAACGAAACGACTTGCCGCGAAGCGAAAACCCGAAGCCCGAAGCCGGCCTTGGGTGGTGCATCCCCTAATCCCTAAACCAGAAACCCTAAACCGCTAAAACCCTAAACCCCTGAACCCCTAAACCCTAAACCGCTAAACGCTAAGCAGCCCCTGGCACAGATCGACGGGATAGCGGCTCTGCCAGAGATAGAGGCACCGTCCCCGGCTCTTGACTGTGTTTCCCCCTAGTTTGAGAAGACTTCGGGGGTTCCTTGTTATATTCAAGTTTTGAGGTTCCGGGGGCCAGGGTCAAAGGACTGAAGGTCTACACCTTCGGTCTCAGAGGTCATGTTTTGGGTTTGGGGCCTCTCGGATTTCATCATCAACTACCAGCATCATCCATAAGCATCAGCTTGGAGGATGAAGTACATGCTGCAGCTATCTACTGCTTACCTCGCACTCCGTTCGATGACACTCATTTCTTCTTCTGCCTCGGGCTTGCTTGGCTATACAAGCTGCCAGAGGGGGCTTCGATCATGTGGGGTTGTCTCAGGATCTTTAGTGCTGTCCTTCCTTGAGTGGGGCTTTATGCAGTGTAGCACACGGGGCAGTAGTATTGAGCCTATGGTGTTGGGCTTGATCACCAATATTCAGCCCCCTGAGTTCGGGTTCGTGGTTACGGGAAGTTATTGTCTTCATGGCATTCGGCTGTAGGATTTTTTGGGTTGAACCAGACAGCATTCTCCGCCAAAACAGCCCTGAACAAGCTTTGTAACACACGATCATAAAGCCACTACTAACATTGAGTGCCCTACACGAAACCTGAAATACAAGCAATAACCGGAAGACTACTGAAATCACCACCCTAAACCCTAAAAGCCTAAACCCGGAACTCCAAACGTCCCCAATCCCTGGGCCTAAACCATAAACCCTACACTCTAAACCCTAAATCCTAAACTTTGGCATAGTTGGGTAACATTTTACATGTTTATGGATACTTAAACCCAATAAGGAATAACAATGTACACTTTTTACTCCTATCCCAACCATGAGCTAGTCTTCTAATTCAGGAATATACCTTAAGTTATTATTTAAGGTATATCATACGGTATATCCCTAATACTAAACTCTAAAACCCACCCAGGCCGAGCTCGAAGTCGGAGTCCGCGGAGAGCGCCGCCCTCCCACGGCTACGGGCCCCCGCCCGCAGGGTGCGGAGCCCTAGAGGGAGCTCCGAGGGGTAGAAGTCTAGGGCTTTAGGGTTTAGGGCTTTAGGGTTTAGGGTTTAAGGGTTTAGGGTTTAGGGGTTTAGGGTTTAGGGTTTAGGGTTTAGGGGTTTAGGGTTTAGGGGTTTAGGGTCTAGGGGTTTAGGGTTTAGGGTTTAGGGGTTTAGGGGTTCAGAAGTAAGGTGAGAGGATCAGCACCGGTCCCGAAAGGCATAGACTCTCAAAGCTCTAAGCCCTCAGCTTTGAATAGTATAAATAGTAAGAATAGGAAATAGGAATAATCACTTAATAAGAATCTCAATACTCATCCTAATGTTCATAGTTTCAATGATGATCAGAACAAGAATGAGAATAAGAAGGAGAACAAGAGTACGAATAATAATAATAATAGTTAGAATAAGACTAAGAATAAGAGTACGAATAAGAAGATTACCAAGAATAATACCAATAAGTAGAGAATGATTCTACCAATGATGGTAATGGTACTAGTTAATAGTAGCCACAGCGGTAGTAATTGTACAACAAATAATCACAGTCGTCACAATCGTCCAGTTGAAAATGGTCATGGTAAAGTAGTAATAATAGAAACAGTCATAGTAGTAGTAATAGTGATGATAGAAATAGTCATAGTCATAGTGGTAATCATGGTTATGATTTAGCCATGAACACATGAAAACCCTAAACCCCAAAGCCCTAGGCCTTGCGCCTGAATTCTCGCTAGGTATGCTCCGCCCCCGGGCTACGGCCCGCTGCCGGGCTATCCCCCAGCCTACGGCGACTTGGCGCAGAGGTTGGGTAATGATTTAGTTTAAGGTCCGGGACCAGAACCCCAAAAGCCCACCCCAAAGCCTTATCCCAAAATCGTGTGCAACTCGAAGATCCTTGAGCCTTAGATCCCGAACACTTAAGATCTTGACCTGCGAGTTCAGGCGAAGAAAGAGTCGCTGAGCTCTAGAGGTTTAGGGTTTAGGGGTGTCTGGGTTTAGGAGTTTCCGGGTTTACGGGTTTAGTGCGTAATATAGGGGCCTAAATAATTACCTATACTATTTTGGGGGGTTCCTTATTATAAGTATAGTATAATGGGCCCCCAAATCCTACTCTAATTATTAAGGCCCCTATATTAGGGTTTAAGGTTTAGAACAAGCACAAAACTCTCAGCCCTGAGAGGCCCAGAGCCGAAGACCCGAAGTCCCAAGCTATGAGCTCAGAGACTCCAACATCCCTTAATTAAGGAATATTCTATTAGAGATCCTTCTAGAATTTTAAGGGTTTTTCCTTAAATCAGATCAGGGGTCCGACTATAATTTTAAGGGAATATTCCTTAATTAAGGGAACTTGGAGTCTCTATGAGCCCCCAAACCCTACTTCTGGCTCTCTTACAAGAGACCTTATTGAGAGGGTCTTTATCCCCAAGGGTCCTAAACCCCTAAACCCTAAACCCTAAACCCTAAACCCCTAAACCCTTAACGCCCCTAAACCCTAAACCACTGAGCCGAAGCCTCGAGCGCCGGTGCTTTGCGGTTGTCAGATATAAGGTTTTGGGCCTAGGATGTAGGGGTGTAGGGGTTTAGGGTTTAGGGGTTTGGGGGTTTAGGGGGTTTAGGGGTTTAGGGTTTAGGGGTTTAGGGTTTAGGGGTTTAGGGGTTTAGGGGGTTTAGGGGTTTAGGGTTTAGGGGTTTAGGGTTTAGGGGTTTAGGGTTTTAGGGTTTTAGGGTTTAGGGGTTTAGGGGTTTAGGGGTTTAGGGGTTTAGGGGTTTAGGGGTTTAGGGGTTTAGGGGGTTTAGGGGTTTAGGGTTCAGGGGTTTAGGGTTTAGGGGTTTAGGGTTTTAGGGTTTAGGGGTTTAGGGGTTTAGGGGTTTAGGGGTTTAGGGGGTTTAGGGGGTTTAGGGGGTTTAGGGGGTTTAGGGGTTTAGGGTTTAGGGGTTTAGGGTTTAGGGGCTTAGGGTTTTAGGGTTTAGGGGTTTAGGGTTTTATGCAAGGCGTTTGCGGGCCATCCAAGCGAGAAGCACGCCAAGACGCTTAACAGGGCGACATACAAGATTAATTACATTGCGCCGTTTCGTTCCTTGCTCTTGTCAACTTTGTATAACAGTTCCAGACCAGGGGTTTAGGCGGTTTAGGGGTTTAAGGCGTTTGAGGTTTAAATTGGGAGTCTAGGGGTTTAGGGTCTAGTGGTTTAGGGTTTAGGGGTCAGAGTGGCGGATATCGACAGCCCAAGACTAAGACCCTCCAGGGCCGTGATATTCCCTATACTTTGCAAGAGCCCTGCTCCAATTATCACAGCGGACCCTCAAAGCAAAAGGTCAGGCGTTGGATTCAAGCCAAGGCTTTAGGGCCTGGGTTTCATGTAAACCTGAGGGTGTAGGCTTTGGGGACGGCTTGGGGTTTTTGGGCGTTTGCATTTAAGGGTTCAGGGTGTAGGGTTTTACGGCAGGGTTCGGGACGGGTTAAGGCTCCAGGGGTTCAGTGTACAAAGAAAGACGAAACCTAACTTTCCAAACAGCTCTCCTGACCAAACATGATCAAAACACCCTTTACAACGCCACCGTTAGCGAACATAAGCCGTAAGCATCATGAACAAAGCGCTGTAGAGCCCGGAACCTTAAGCCATAAGCTCTTTCGGGTCCTATACCCTATAGCCAACCCTAAACCCTGAACTCTATAGCCAACCCTAAACCCTAAACCCTGAACCCTAAAGCCCTAAAGCCCCAAAGCCTCTACGCTGATTGCAGACGAGGCTATCCGCCCCCTGTGGCCTACAGCCATCCCCCGGCTCCACAACCAGGTGGGCTCTTCAGGGAGCCCCAAGCCCTACTTAAAGGAACCCCCAAGCCCTTATATTAAAGGAGCCCTAAACCCTTCAGGGCTGATGAGTGCTGGCTTGCGGGCTCAAAGGGTTCTTTAAGAGCCTCAGTTGAAATGCGGTCTTCGAGCTTGTATTTTGGTAGGGTCGGTTCGACGTTGTGGTCGTTTTGGCCGGGGTTAAAGACATCATTGTGCGTTTTGAGTGCGGACCCCGGTCATGTCCAGAAGGGGCTCGCCAGAAGCTGCAAGCACAAGATTTTGCAAGCCCGCACCCAAACTCGAAGTCCTCACCGACTGATGAGCATGCTACAACCCTAAAGCCCCATGGCCCTCGACCGTTCTTCTTGTTGCTATCTTCTTATCTTGGTTGCTTCTTCTTGTGCTCCTTATTAGTCTCTTGATGCGTCTTCAGACTGAACCTCCCCATGCTCCAAGATGTCAGGCTACGCCCCGCCGCCGCAGTATGAGTATCCGCCGCAGTATGCCCAGCCGCCGCCGCAGGTGGCCCGGGCACTAGATTTCCAGAGTTTCCAGAATAATTTCAGAGTTTCAGGGCCGTTTCAGGGTGCACATTTATAGGTGCATGAATGATGAGTTCCTGCCCACTACCACTGCCACTAGTGCTACTGCTGCTACTACTGCGGCCATGACGACGACTATACTCCTACTACTGCTACTCGACTCTAGCCTACAACTCCTATTGCCACTACTATTACTACTACTACTGCTGCTACTACTGCTACTACGACTACCACTACCACGACGACGACGACGACGACGACGACGACAGCGACGGCGACGACGACGACGACGACGACTACTGCTACTACTACTACTACTACTACTACTACTACTACTACTACTACTGCTACTACTACCAGTACCACTACCAGCGACTTCCACTACCCAGCCACTTCCACTACCATCCACAACCATCCACTACCGCAACTACTGCCACTGCCACCAGCACGAGCACTGGCAATAGCACTTCCACTGCCACTACCAAGTACCACTACTGCTGCTGCAGCTGCTACTACGACTGCTGCTACACCTACTACTGCTACTGCTACTGCTATTGCTACTGCTACTACGACGACTACTACTACTACTGCTACCACTAGTCCTGCTACTACTACTACTACTACTACTACTACTCCTCCTCCTCCTACTCCTACTCCTACTCCTACTCCTACTCCTACTCCTACTCCGACTCCGACTCCGACTCCGACTCCGACTCCGACTCCGACTCCGACTCCGACTCCGACTCCGACTCCGACTCCGACTCCTACTCCTACTCCTACTGCTACTGCTACTGCTACTGCTACTGCTACTGCTACTGCTACTGCTACTGCTACTGCTACTGCTACTGCTACTGCTACTGCTACTGCTACTGCTGCTTGCTACGACTGCTACTACTACTCCTACTGCTCCTACTAACCCTACTGCTCCTTCTTACCCTACTACTCCTGCTCCTGCTCCTGCTGCCGCTACTGCTGCTGCTGCTGCTCCGGCTGCTATTGCATCTTTTTCGACAGCTTCTGCTGCGCTGCTGCAGCACTTCCTCCATCGTTGCTGCTGTTGCTGCTGCTCCGCCTGCTACAACCGAATGTCCTTGCTACTGCTGCAAAGAAAATCGTCTTCACGTCATGAACGGTTGCCGCGGCCACCGTCATCAGAAGCAACAGCATAGAACTGCCTGCCACCAGAAGATCCTACACATGTATGCTTGTGTGTGTGTGTGTGTCCTCACAGCCTTGCTGTGACGCTTGTACCGCTAGTACATCATCACCTGCAGTAGCAGCAGCACCAGCCCCTGTAACAGTGCGTGGACTTTCCGAAGGCACCGCCGCCCCAGTACGCCCAACCACCGCCGGCGGGTGCTTACGCACCACCACCAGCCTACGGCCGATGCCTTGAAAGTGTTCGTATACTATTTTGAAAGTATATTATAATATAAAAATATAAACATATATATGATATTATAGTATGTTATAATAGATTATGGTATATTACAGTATGTTATATTAGATTATATGATCGTACATTCTAGTATAACTTTGGTGAGAGTAGGCCTACAGAGCTTCCACCCTTCTGTAAGTTTCGTGCGGCTTCGAGGCACTGGAGTGTAGGAGTCCATGAGTGGCAGCACTGACCCCAGGTTTAGGGTTTAGGGTTTAGACCTTGAGAGCTTGAAAAACAAGAACAGCTAAGCTGAGTTCATGGTCAATGACAAGGCGATGGTCATGACAATGGCCACGCGGTGGTGATGGTGACGCACCCGCTGCTGATGATGATGGCCACGACGATGGCGATGACGAGGATGACGATGAGGGGGAAGACTATGCCGATATGCCGATAATGACGATGGTGATGGTAAGGTCTTATGGCGGTGGTGGTGATGATGCTGATGATGATGATGATGAGAACGATGCCGCTGCTGACGATGCTGCTGCTGCTGCTGCGGTTGTTGTCGTGGTTGTTGTTTTTGTTGCTGCTGTTGCTGATGATGGTCAGGATCATGCTCCTAACAATGATGAAGATGATGATGACGATGCTACTGCTGATGCTGATGATGACGATGTTCATGACGACGAGGAGGATGATGATGATGCTGCTGATGATGATGATGATGATGATGATGAGGATACTGCGGGGGGTGATGGTCAGGTGCAGAAGAAGTGGATTACACACCGGTTAAATGTTTATGGTTGTGGTTGCAGTATCAAGCAGAAGGAGCCACAGCAGTAGCAAGCCGCAAGTACAGCGGCGGTGTGCTTGAAGTAGCAAGTTCGTCAATGAGGGTATTGAACTGTTCGCAGTGACGGTCGCAGTTGGGGGCTTGACGTCGTCGTCGTCGTGGTGAGTGCCTGGTCGTCCTGTCATTCTCGTTCTCGTCTTCCATATGTTTAAGAAGAGCCCTGGTCAGAATATTAGCATGAAACGAGCCCCAAAGCCCCAAAGCCCCGAAGCCCAGAAGCACTGAACCCTCGGTCTCCCTGAGGCTACCCACCAGGCTACCCTCCTCCGGCGAGCTACCCACCTGGGCCTCCTCCCGCGGGCTATCCGCCACCAACGGGATACCCAGCTCTGCCGCCCATGTGAGCTAGCTCCGGGCTGTTTCGAGGCTCAGGGTGGACGGTTGAGGTTTCGGGTCGTGGTAGGTACTGGGAATGCTGAGTGGTAGGCTTGCTGATAGCTTTTGCGCAGGTGTAGGAAGTGATTCCGCGCCGAGCGCTTTCTGCTGCAGCCCGTGTCAGCAGTAAAGCTGGACCTGCGAGCTTGTGATTGTATCCGGCATGATGCCCGCATTGCAAGAGCTCCAGGTACCTAAACTCACCCAGAAGCTATTCCCTTCGGGGGCATTGAGGCAGAACCTGGATAAAGCAAGGGGCTCTGTAGATCTCGATGCAGCTCTCAGTTCCGCAGTGGCCGAGCAGAACTGCGGAGCCCGGTGCGAAAGATGCTGCAGATCAGTCTGAGAAGCTCTGAATGTTCTACCCGCACCAGGCAAAAGGGCACGTGCACTGAGTGTCTCAACATCAGGGACCCCTTTTGACTCTTCTAAGGTCTCCCTGTCGTTTTCTAGGGTTCGTCTATGGTTCTTTCTCTTCCTGTATGGCGAAGCATGGGGCTTGAGACAGCATTGCCGCACTGCCGGCGGTTCGAGAGGGGACCCTGGTATTCCAGAAAGAGCCGACATCGGAGCGGAGGTGACGAGAGCTCTCGAAAGCAGCAGGTCTAGGGTTTGGGGTTTAGGGTATCGGTTAATGACTTTAAGACATCTATGGTATGACGAACCTTGAGCCTATAAGCCTAACTTTCGCCAAAATGGATTCCGAACCCTAACCGACAACATCTGGGCTGGGTTTTGGGTGACCTCCGCCCAGCAAGACCACACATAGAATGTAGACTCATACTCTGATAAGTGTGAGTCATGGATGCAGGTAGGATCCTGGAAGGTGGGACATCCGATCCTGGATGGGCAGTTGACGCTTCAAAGTTCGTGCTAGTTACAGATTTGGGTCTTCGGCTTGAGTTCGTTTGGATCATCCCATCTTCGCAGGAAATCAGTTCTTAACGTGAAGCGTTATTTTCAGCTGCAGCGATTGAACACACCTTGTGGTCCACGGTCTTTCTGCGGATGCAATACTTTGTTTTCTCTCTGCTTCATGTCTACAGTCACTCGCCTTTCAAAAACATATCTCGTTTTTCCTTCATATCCTGCCAAAGCGCTAGCCGCGCGTCGGTCGCACGGAGCATGCTGCCACACACTGGAAGAGATGCTTGCAGCTGGAAGTGGCATTCTCATGTCAGACATGATGAGAGGGATGGGCATGTGCCTTTGTGGAAGCAAGGTAGGTCGGATTTCCCCTTTGTCGTTTCTCATGCATCTTGATATGTCTCGATTTTGTGCTATACTGTCTGCAGATGGCTGTCTTTCCGCACTGAAAACTGAAGAGGCGCAACTTGGGCATGGAATCAGTTGACAGTCGGGGCATGGGGAACGGTACGCCGCGTGCCTGTCTTCGCGGAGTACTGGTTGGCTAGAGAAAAGGGGAACTCCCACAAAAGGCGCAACTAGCACCCCAGTCTGCCGCTGCTGCGAGGGGAGGAAAATGAGTGTTGTTGAGGAAGGCACTTGGCGAAGAAACTGCTTCTGCCGAGTGATGGCTTGTGCTGCTTCAGCATCTGCGAGCAAAAAGGTTGAGAGGCTACCGAGCCCAAGGGGTACAGGTACAGTAATGCAGGAACCTGGCTAAAACAATAACTCCAAAATAGGATGCATCTATGCATATGGACCCTTACAGGTTTACATGGTGGATTTCTTGATCAGGTTCCTGCATTAGCTGCCATTTGCAGCCCCTCACGCTGGAAAGCAAGAAAAACGCCTGCACATCACGGCGCTTGTTGGTGTGGTGCCGCCAGATTGCACCCAGAGCTCTTGAAAAGGCAGTGAGTCTGTGACCAGCACCCGCGCAGCGAGGGAAACGGTCGCACCGGAGGTTTCCCTTTGGCTGAAACTTGGCAGTTTTGGGCAGTGCTTCTGTGACAGTGTTGAAGTCTGCCGGTGAGGTTCGGCACATCTGCCCATTTTGGTTTCCCTGCTCGGAGCTTCCAAGTTTCTTCGGGCCGTGTATGCAACCGAGAGAGAAGGGCAGCCTTTCCTACCATAGCCCCCGTCTTTGATATGTCGTCCAGTGCAGTCATGAGCACGGCAGCGCGTCATGTCTGCCTACTGGGGCCCCTGGAAGGAAGGGATTTTCGCGCGCGGTGACTTCCTTGCTAGTCTCCAGTCTCCTGGTTCCGGTCGCTCTGACCCTGTGGGGTTCGGAGCAGATCGGCAGCTTGCCATGGCACGTCGTGAGGCGACGGGAGACTGGCACACATACCTACGCTTGCGGGAAGTGGGGTGGGGAGGGGCACACAATGGGAGCAAGCACTCAAGCCCCCTCCCCGCCCCACGTCAGAGACGTCGTGCATCCCATGACCACCGGGAATATCTGAGGGGCCTCGTGGACACGGATGGCCTTTCTTTGACCAACGAGTGAGGGAGGTCGAGGTTTGGATGAAGTTGTGAGTTCTATGATTGTTTTATCAGACATAACTTTGTTGTGGTAAGTTATGGTATAGTGCATCATACTATGTAATACTGTTCCTGTCTGTTTGGGTTTGATAGATGTGATGCCACAGCGCACAACAACCATGTGCAATCCTGCGCTGGCACGCAAGAAAAGCCGACTGTTGCAGAGGTCTTGGGGATGTGAACATGGTCTCCGGGGCTTAGGGTTTAGGGGTTTAGGGTTTAGGGTTTAGGGGGGCCTTAAAATTCAGGACAAAGTTCTTGCTGTAAGTCTTCTTCTCGCTTCCTCGAAGTCCTTTCCGTGTTCAGGGTTAACGTCTGCGGGCTTAGACTGCAGTGCAGTAAACCCCTCATGCCCATTCCCTTAGAGCATTCCCTTAGAGCTGCTTCTGGTGGTGGTGGTGTTGTTGCTGCCTTAATTTGGCCACAGAGACAGAGAAGTACAGAGGAGCCTCCCTGGCCCAAACCCTAGCAGCTACTATGGGGGCCTGATCAATAACCCATACTAGTTTGGGGGTTCCTGACTATAACTATAGTATAATGGGCCCCAAAACCCAATTATTAAGGCCCCTATATTAGAGTCTGTTGCATGTCTTACCGTTGCCCTTTTCCAGGCCCTGCCGAGCTCCGCGCCAAATCGCGCAGCCAAGTTGCCAGCGGTGAGGCAATGGTGAACTGTTGCCACCCTAAGCCCTCAACCCTACACCCTAGCCACTTTAAGAGACCCTAAAAAATCCCCTACCCACTTTTGCAGACAGCTTCTGGACGGAAAACAAGCAAGGAAAGAGGAACTTCAAAGTTCTGTGAGAAGGGTGGGTTGCTATGCCATGCTCCCAAGAGGCACCCTGGAAGCTGCAGTTGAGGCTCTGCATATTGGTTCCTTATCATCATTGTTAAAGAAAAATCTAGATCAAAAGCCTATTCTAATTATTAAGGCCAGTTCGGGAAGCTTCTTGACGGACATGCCGACGGCACATGGCTCTGTAACGTGTCACCACCAGACTTCTGCATTGGCCCGACACCTGCACTCAGGGGCACAGAGCAACTAGTGTGCAGCAGGGCGTTAGCTCGTAGCAGCCCAGACAGATTCATCGTCACATCTTTGCAAGATCCCACTCAAGCAGCACACGGTCTCTAGGCCTCTTTCGTTGACTGGAACGGCTACCGGGTCAAAGCAACACTCGTCGTGAGCCATGTCGTACAAGGGCAACAAGAAATGGCCGGGGATGGTCCGGAGCTAAGACATGTGCCCAGAGAGCCCAATACCCCTTAATTAAGGAATATGGCTTAAATCATATTATGCGCCCCCTTATAATTTAAGGTATATTCCTTAATTAAGGGGTATTGGGCTCTCTGGGTGCGTGTTCACCAGGAGGTGCTGTTTTGGCAACCCCGCCCAATCAGGCCTGAGACCAATGCCCGCGACCCTGAGATACCCTGAGCCTGAGCCTTAGACCAGGAGCCTAACCCCTAAATCAAGCCCTCAACCCTATATACCCATAAACCCCAAAACCGAGAACCCCAAACCCAAAACCCCAAAACTAAACCCTAAACCCCAGCTCCTTAAAGCCTATCCCAGAAGGAGGTGTCGCGCTTGTCCTTGTCCGTGGCTCATCACAGCTCGAACCAACCGCGTAGGCCTTCATTTGGCTTTTTTGGTTCAGAGTTTAGGATCAGGTTCAGATTCTTGGTGCGAGGATTTAGCGATTCAGGGTTTCGCCAGTTTTGCGACGGCAAGGAAGGATTTAGCGGCAAAAGACGTGTCGTAGTTGAAAGTGACCTAATACTATGCAAACCGTGGTGACAACACTGTTTGGCGTGGTCTCGTCTGTATGACGCGGAGGCTTGAAAACGGATCCTAGTCTAGAGCAGCCTCCATACGCCACTGCCAGAAAATGAGGGACTCCATACTGATGGACCCCGAAACTGTAGGATCCTTCTGCTAGGGACCCTGAAATTTAAGGTACCCTTATTTCCAGAACCTCCCGTATCTGTAGAGTTTGTGATTTTTGTGATTTCCAGCCCCATTCGAAGCAAATGGCTCTGGCGCGTCTGGGCACGGCGGTGCTGGCGTTTGCTTTCGGTGTGCTCTTTGCATCTTGGCCTCATGGCTTTGGAGGTTTTGGGGTTTAACGTTTGGGAGCCCGACGGCCCTCAACTTATATTGGGCTTCTCCTTTGAAAGTGAGCCAGTGCTTGTTATGACTGGCTGGCTTCTAGGGCCATCCCCCATAAGCCGTGGTTCCAGTCCCCAGAAGTCCCGAACCCGAATCTGCAGGAACCCTAAATAAAAAACCCTTGAGTTTCGAAAACTCTGAACCCTAAACCCTAAGCGAAGTTTTCAGAACTTTCTCTCTGAACTTTTCAGGACCGGGCTTTTCAGCTTCTTTGAGGGCTGCTCGAAGAGTGTCTCTCGAACATCCCGAAGCTCCGACTCCCCCAGAGAGCCCAATACCCCTTAATCAAGGAATATACCTTAAATTATAAGGGGACTCATATTTTTTCATGAAAAAACATGCCCAATGCCCCTTAATTAAGGACTATACCTTATATAAACCATAAGGGGATTCATATTATGATTTAAGGCTATATTCCTTAATTAAGGGGTATTGGGCTCTCCGACTCTAACCTGGTGCAGACCTAGTCTAGGACCTTGCTTGGGGTCTAGGCCAGCGTAGGGGTGCCTAGGGGTAGAGCCGAGCCCGCTCCGCCCGAGGGCCTAGGCCTGGGCTGCCCTGGACCCTACCTCTAGGCCTAGCCCTAGCCTAGAGTTTTTGAGGAGAAGTACGTTCAACGGCTACCAGCAGCTACTTCAGGGCGTTTAGGGTTTCGGGTTTAAGTTCTGTAAAATATTTCTGTAGCTGTTGGTCATTGAACTTGCTTGGTGGAAGGTGCTGGTCGTCCAGCAGGGACCCAACTCCGTGCAGGGCGCCAGGAGGCCAGGCGCGGGTCTCTGACAAGCGCGATGGGGAGTATCCCCTAACCCTATAGTGAACCCCAGAAAGTTGGAACATGAGTTTAGGATGATTAGTGCTAGGATTCTCTCTACTTTACCTTAAGGGAATGAGGATAATGATGTTCCAACTTTGTGGCTTCTACTGCAAACCCTAAATCAGTATTCATAGATGAGCAGTGGGCCATTTGGGGCATAGATTTGGGTCGAGCTCGCCCTAAACCCTAAACCCTAAACCCTAAACCCTAAACCCTCGAAGGCGCGGAAGGCCGGGGCCGCCTGGGGTTCCGGGTTTGCGCTTGAGCTCCGACTTTGGAAAACGTCGACCCAAGATGCCCAGAGCAGTGCTAAGACCTCGATATTTCTTGCGCCTTCGTGCTGTTCCCAGGACGTTTTAGGGTTTAGGGTTTGGGGTTTGTCATCTCTGTTTGCAGGCCTGTAAGACTGAAAACCTTATCTCTCTGCCCAGAGGTAACACGTGTGTCTTTGAACCAGCCAACCAACCAACCAACCAACCAACCAACCAACCGAGCAAAACCCTAAACTGCAGTGTTGCACTGTTTCAGGGTTGAAGGTTCAGAGTGAGGGTTTAAGGCTGCGCTTTGACCCCTAGACCCGTGAAGGCTAAGCCCAAAAGAGCCTCCCAGCCTCAAGGCTTCGACTAGGTAGCGCTTTGGGACGTGTTGTATTTGCACTAAACCCTGAACCCTAAACCGTGCCCTCTTTTGGACAGCTGAACCTGGAAGGCTGGCAGAGCTTGGTGGCTGGAGGCGGGTTCAATCATGCACAACCCTAAACTTTGAACCCAAATTTCTACTACTGTTCCTGTTGTCGTGGTTGCGCCTGTTGTTAATTCTGCTGCCGCCGCTGCTGCTGCTGCTGGTGTTGTTGTTGCCGTTGCTCTTGCCGTGGCCGTCGACGACACGTCGTTGTCGTCGTATCTACTGCTTGGCATGGTTGCCCTAAACCGCAAACTGTTTGATGAGTTCCCGAGCTGGGGGCTTACGCGGCTGATCGAAAACTCCTTTGAGCCCCGAGACGACACGAAAGCCCCAACATCCGGCTGACACAGCGGGGCTGAAGAGTCAGGGATAGCTTTTGTTTGCGGTTCCACCTCATTTCCCGGTCACTTGGTCCAATGATGTAGGCACCTCTGCTTGAGCTGTCTAGAAACAGCTGAAGCACCTCCAAGGCGCAGTAGTCCGCTGAAAACCGCCTCAAGCCCCAAAGCCCCACACCCAAAGGTCCTGAAACCTAAAGCCATAACGAATTTCAGCCTAAAGCCTAAACCTAAACCTCATAGCGTAAGCCTCCAACCAGAGGCAGGCTCTCGAACATCCTGCACCGGAAAAGAGTCAGTTCACGTAAAAGAACCTAAACCTAAATCCTAAACCGTACACCCAAAACCTTATACGTTAAACCCTAAACCCTAAAACCCTAAACCCTAAAACCCCAAACCCCAAAACCCTAAAAAAGCCAAAACCTAAAACCCTAAACTCCACACCCTTGACCACGGACATGAAGAGGCCCTAAACCCTAAACCCTACTTGGAGGGTCGGGGGACTTAGTAACTGGTTATTTTAAGGACTTATAAGTACCATAACCCCAATTAGGGTCCCTTTTAGGGTACTTATAAGTCTACTTACTACCTACTTACTAAGTCCCCTAAACCCCTAAACCGTAAACCCTATACTACCCTTATATAGCCCTTTAAAGGAACCCTAAGAGTCCCCTTTAAAGGAGCCCTTACTAAATCCCCTAAAGACCCTCCAAGTAAACCCTAGGCCCTGGGGCGACGCGCAGTTGGGAAACTTCGGCCTCTGGGCCGAAAAGGAGCTCTCCGACGCTGTGGCAAGGACTTAGGGGTACTTAGATTTTTTTTAATTTTTGGTACTTAGGAAGAATTTTTAATTTTTGGTTATTATAAATTATTGGTTATTGGAAATATTTTTTAATTTTGGGTTATTTTTTGGCCCTAAGAAGCAGCTAAAATTAGAACTTTTGCTAGGGTTCTAAGTTCAATATAGATAGGGTTTCGGTGTCTAGGGGTTGGGGTTTAGGGGTTTAACGGGGTTTAGGGTTTCGGGCTTCAGGGGTTTAGGGTTTCGGTGTTTAGGGTTTAGGGTCTGGGGTTTTGGGTATTAAAGTGGCAAGGGACTATAACATCAGTGTTCAAAGCAAAACAAGCTACATTAGGGTCTAGGGTTTAGGGCTTAGGGCAGAGGGAGTATAATGTCAGGGTTTACAGCAAGCTCAGCAAGTGAGCTACATAGGGTTTAGAATATCATTGCGATTATTACACTTGTGGTTTTTGCATCGTTACAATTGCCGCAAAAGAGCTTGAGATCTATTTCCATGAAGTCGATACTCATGATTGTTCGGACCGTGCTCGTTGGTATCACTAAAGCCTCAAACGCCCCCCCCCCCCCCCCCCCCCCCCGCCCAAAGCTAGAACCTACACCCCTAAACTTAAGCCCCAAGTGACGCCCTGCACCCGAAACCCCTTAACCACCAAACCCCACACCCCTAGACCTTTAAACCCTGAACCCTCAACCCTTTCGAGCCTGAATCCTGAACCCTAAACCCCAAACCCTGAGCCCTAAACGCTAAACCCCTAAGCCTTAGCCGACCTTTGGCTGCATCATTTCGAAGAAAGGGTCCGTTGCACTTAAACAAAAACCCCTAAACCTTTAAAGCCTGAACCCTAAACCGTAAGCTCCCAAGGAAGCCCTGGCGGCTATCCAAGCCGAGCTGAGCTCTCGTGGCTCCGGCAACGCCGCGCCCAGGAGCCGGCCTCAGCTTGCGGGGGTTCAGAGTTTGAGGCTTAAGGTGCACAGGGTTTAAGGTTTAGGGTTTAGGGATAGTTATATTTAATTCAGACGAAGACGGTTTTGGTGCTATGTTTCGTATGGCCACGGTCCGACTATGAATACCTGGTCATGGCTGCTGGTTTTGTCCGTTCCCTTATCGCTGTTGTCACACCTATACAGCTTTTGACACTGCCAAGTATGGCTAGTTTCCCTGGCTCATAATGGACCATGCTATATTTCCTAACGTCCGTGTGTTCCCCTGAACTTTCATCCCCGCACCCTGCCGCTTGAGCCCTAACTCGACCTCAGACCCAACCCGAAACCTTGAAACCCCACTTCCCACGCCCTGATTATCAATCTTATGGTGGGGGTTCCTTATTATAATTTGAAACGCTTCGCGTCGCCCGCCTCGGCCCGGCGGCACACGCATGTGCCAAATAATTATCATCCTGGGGTCTGCGTACAGGAGCCTGATTTAGAAAACTTGTTGCATCTCCGAATCCTGTGCCTGATATTCGACATACCCCCTAGCTGGGCGATAGCGATGCTTGAATCTCCGATGCCCGCAATCCGCCAAAGGGTTAACTCGTGGAGCCCTGCACCGTACTGCTTAAAGCCTTCAATGCCAATGTCCGAACCTGTAAGTTTTGTGGCAAGTTTCAGTTTCTGAACCCTGTCCGTGGGCGGGGAAACGGAGGAAAATTGGGTGGGACTGCCTACAGAAAGCCAAAATCCAGTGGAGAAGGCGAGAATTCACAGCCGGACCTTGGGGCTCGTCGACACGTTTTCCGAATAGGAACCTCTGACCGCTTCGGCCGGGGCGGAGGCGAATTATAGTATAATGGCCCCCGAAGACCCTATTCTAATTTTTGAGGCCCCTATATCAAACCCTGAATCCTCAAGAGGAAGATGGCTTGAAACAATCCCGCCAAGCTGGGGTCCGCACGCTTCGGTGAAGTTCAAAGCTACCAGGGCCAGAAATTCAAAACTACTAGGGCCAGGTTGTACGGTTCAGGGGTTTAGGGTTTTTAGGGGCTTAGGAGTTGAGGGTTTAGGGTTTAGCGGTTTAGGGCTCTAGGGCATTAGGGCTTAGGGGTTTAGGGAGCTTAGACCCTTTTGGGAATTGCCTAACCCAGCCCAGCGAGTTGGTCAAAACGTTTCGGTCAACACGACTCACCAAAGCGTGTCTGTCAGAACGTCTCGGTCCAAACGTTTCGGTCGAATCATGTCAGTCAACACGTTTCGGCATGCTTCTGTCAACATGTTTAGACAACACTATACGTTTCCTACAAACTGTAGCCTAGCCCCCAAGTCCCAAAGCCCAAGGCTTCCCCTCAATTCGGTAGTTGTCAAAATTATGGTCCCTTTCTGGGTCCCCTAAATAGTAGCCGTAATATATTAGGGACCCAAAAAGGGACCCATAATTTTGACAACCACCCAAGTCCCAAAGCCCCAGACCTCCCCCTCAATCGTTCGGAAAAGGCCCGCCTCCGACGTCGCCACCACGCCTTCACCGAACTCAAGGTTTCAGTACGTCCACAAGCACACCTATGCAACGGGAGATCCGAAGGCGACTAGGGTATTAGGGTATAGGTTTTAGGACTTTGGGGGTTTAGGGTTTAGGGTAGATCCGAAGGCGATTTCGGACCGGATTCTGCTGTGTTGGGTTGGAGTATCGGTTTGTGTTGAGCTTGTTCGAGTTTGGTCTTATGCAGGGTTCATCTTGCGGGTGGGTTTATGTAAGGTTGATGTTGGGGTGTATGGGATCGATGTTGGTTTTGGGATAAGGTCCAGGAGGGGCTGTAGAGGGTTTGGGGTTGGCAGGATCTAAAGGTTTGGGTTCTGGACGATTGAGGGGTTTCGGTTGCGGGGTCGCAGAGCCCCTGCGTCTAAGGGCTAGTGGACATTGTGGCCACTACGACGGGCCAAGCGTCGTCCCGTCCTAGGCTGCCAGCAGTAAGAAGTCCGGGTGCAGGAACACACTCGTCCACAACGACGTCAATCGCAACCCATTGGTCCAAGAGGGTAGAAGGCTGTCCATGCAGATGCTGTTCGCGAAGTTTGAGAAATTTAAGAAGGCCGGCACAGCTCTTTTCGGAGAGCAGTCCGCCATCTTCATCGGAGCATCGTTGTCATCGTCGTTCGTCAACATGCTCTCATCAGCAGCGTCAGCATCAGTATGACCATCATCATCGTCGACCTCATCAACTCAGACCGTTTAACCCTCCCCGAAAGCCCTGTCGCTTCATTTTCGCAGTCTGCAAAACATGATCCTTAAGGCAAGAGAAACAACCCCCACACCCTGTGCAGATGTAGTGTCGGTTCTCTCTGTGAGCCCTTCAGCCATCTGCTACAGGCCGCCGCGTACTTCGTGGCCAGCTTGTGGGCAGCAACCATTCGGCCCACTTAGAGGGTTGAGCGTTTAGGTCAACCCTAGACCCTAAACCCTAAACCCTAAACCCTAAGCCCTAAACCCTAAACCCTGAACCCTAAACCCTAAACCCTAAACCCTACCTATAGACCCTAAACCTCACAGATTAGTTAGGATTTGGGGTTCGTATCGCTCCTTCGAACCATCTCCAGGTTTCAGCTGCTGGAAGCCGAAGAAGCCGTAATAAACGGCCATGCTAAAAGGGCCGAACCCGCGCAGGTACTTGGAGGTTCATGGGTAGTTATAAGTAGGGTTATAAGTCCCTTAATATGGGTTATACCTGTAGTTATCCTACTTACAACCCTACTTATAACTAACCATGAACCTCCAAGTAAAAGCCCAGGCTACTTCGGCGGGTGGTGCAACCACGAGCCGGGCCATGGTAAGCAGCACACGCACTGCAAGAACACCTCCTACGAGGAGAGGAGCGTCGATCCTTGATCACTAAGACTTACGATTCATTGTAGTAATAACAGTCAGAGTAATAGTAGTATCATTAATAGCAGCAACAGTACTCATAATAAGAATAAGAATAAGAATGAGAATAAGAATAAGAATAAGAATAAGCCCATTAATCGAAGGCCCCAATATTGAGCTGCATGTAGAGCTCCATTTCCAGGGGTCTCAGCCGCGTGCGCCCTCTGAAAGAATTTTGATTCGAGTTGGGAGTGTCCGAAAATAGGGGGCCCTAATATAGGACCCTAAATAGTAGAATCCTCACTACACTTTAAAAAAAAAGAATCCTTAATATAGGGATCGCACAAAAGGTACCCCTAATTTTCGGAAACTCCCAGTTGGGGGTCACGGATCCTGAGACAGAGGCCGTCGGGATGCCTTTGAATGAGGGGTCTTATTATCATAGGAGGCCAAAAGGGGTTTTAGCCTATGGGGGTTTAGTAGGGATTAGGGTTCTCATAATGGGGTTCATATCAAGGAATCCTTACCCCAAGAATCTTAAACCTTTTCTTTTGGCCTCCCATCAAATTAGGAGTCATCCCTCAACTGCGGTCGGTGAACTTACTGCTCTTCTTAAACCCTAAACCCTAAACCTTAAACCCTAAACAGCAGCCCCGAAAACGCAAATCCCTGAGCCCAAGACGCTTATGTAGTCCGAGCAGCTTGTCCGAGAGGACCAGCCCGTCACGTGGAATGCCTACTTTCCGACAACACCGGCATCCTGGACGAATTGTGATGAATGATGATATTTTGTAAATGTCATTGCGACAATGGTTTTTGTCCACTTGAATTGAATTTGTTGGTGTATGTAGTTGTTTTGATCAACAATGTGGGAGTTTCCGAGAATTAAGGGACCTTTTTTATGGTCCTCATAATAAGGATCCTACTATTTAGGGTACTATATATATATATATGTGTATATACATATATATATATATATATATATATATATATATTGTTTTTAGGGTACCCTGTTTTCGGACACCCCCATATCTCAACTTACAATCGCTGCTCCCTGATCGCTCCAGCCATCTTTTGTCATTCTTCGTAGTGTTCTTAAACAGGGGTCTTATTGCCATCAGACATCACCAGCAGTTTGCACGCACATTCATACCACCTACCTGTATTAGTGCTCCAAAGGGTGGCCCTGAACCTTCAATCGCGACTCAACCTACCAATCTGAAACCTCAAATTCCACAGACCTAAATCCCTAACACACCCTCGAACCCGACACCAACATCCTAAACTGCCAAAAAACTTTCGACCTGAATGGCCATAATATACGGGTCTTGATAATTACCAATACTAATGTGCGGGTTCCTTCTTCTAACTATAGTATAATATACCCCCTCCCAAAATCTTATTCTGACTAATAATTAAGGCCCCTACATAAATACGACAGATGTCAAGGAGCAGCCTTTGGGATTCTCGCATCTTGGAGCAACCTCAGCGTGTCCTTGTTACCAAGACGGGCTCGATTTGGGTTTAGGGTTCAGGGTGTTCTACCTTAACCTACCAAAACCTATTTTTTTGTAGCGTCCCTATAAATTCCATATTAGGGTTTATAATAAGAACCTACAAAAAAGTAGGGTTTGGTAGTTTAAGGTACATCAGTAGGAAGGCACAGGCGATTTTAGGGCTTCGGGCTCTAAAGAGCCTAGGATTGAGCGTTTTCTTCGTGGTTTCGCACTTTTCTCAGGTTTTGACTTTAGGGGTTGGGACCCAGGGTTTGGACGCCCCCCCCCCCCCCCCCTGCAGAACCCAGGGCTGCACCCATCCGATTGAGAAACCCTGATAGTAAGCCTGTTTTAAGTCGGCAAACCCTGGCAAATTCGGCCTTTTCATGGTACCCAACCCCCCGACCCTCCATCCCTAGAGCTCGTGAAGAGCAAGGACTAAACTGTACATCCTGAACCCTCAACCAACCGTACAAGACACTGAGCCCGGAGAAGTATTCCAGGAATTCGGGTTTAGGGCTTAGAGGTTCAAGCGATTAGGGCCGAGGGGTTCAAGGGATTAGGGCCGAGGGGTTTTTTGGAGCCGAGGATCCACTTCGTAAAGAATCCCAACAAGCTCCCAGCCAAGGCTGGGTTAAACCCTAAACCCTAAACCTTAAACCCTAAACGGCCTAAACCCTAAACCTTAAACCTTAAACCCTAAACCTTAAACCCTAAACCTTAAACCCTAAACCTTAAACCCTAAACCCTAGACCCTAGGGCCGAAGTGAGGGGTTTTCGGGCTGAAGGTTGACGGCAGGGTTGATGGTTTTTCGAGGCTTCGGCAAGGGTTGGTTTTTGGGATTTCAGGCTAAGGTAAGGGTTTATATGGTTTCAGGCTTAAGGCGTGTAGGGTTTCGGAGCCCTTGTGTGAAGAACCCCTAGACCCTAGGCTGCATAAAAAGGTAACGGCACGGATGCAGGGTTTACCACTTTTGTAACCGTATACTATGACGGGGACCGAGCAGGAGCCGTAGCTAGCCGTAGTTTCGACCATTGCGTCGTTGAGCCGTTGTTCTGGGGTTTTCGTCTTTCGGGGTTTATGGTGATTCGGGCTCCGGATGCCGGCGTTCATTGGAGAAGGCTTCCTGCATCGACGGGCGGGGGGCAAGCCTCCTGTTCGGTTGCAAAAGGCAGAACCGCACTCCACACATGTTTTGAGAGCGTTTTGTGCATGAAACCTTCGACGTATTTTTAGATGTTGTCTGGTCCTTGCTCGGAACGAACAATGCTGACCCTTGCACGAACCCTCAACCCACGCTATCCAAGACCTGACGCATTCCGCATCGAGCCCCAGAATCCCGAGCCCCTGCGCAAGACCCTCAAAAGAATTGACGCCCCAAGCCCAACACCCAAATCTTGACATACAAGTGTAGGGCGGCACCGACCTCAACAGCATTCAACCCGAAACTCACATATGAAAGCCCTCTGCTAGAGTAAACCCTGGACCTTAGATCAAAGGGGAAAAGGAGGGACCCTTACTAAGGACCCCTAGGTATATACCCTTATTTAATATAACCATGATTATAGGGTAGGGGTCACCATTAAGGGTCCCTCCTTTTCCCCTATGATAAACTGAAACCTCAAAGCCGGAGGGCCCCATGAACGAGACCGAGCTGGGTTTGATGGTGGAGAAGTTGCCTGGCCAAGACTTGGATCCTTCAGCAGGAGCAGTAGCAGGAGTTGTAGTTGGAGGTACCCCCCGTAACAAACCACACTTGCTCAACACTTAACGGCACAGTCATGTTACTCGGTGTTTCCGGTACTTTCTTATTGTCCTGCCACTTGTGTTGCCTCCAAGTTTCCTTGTCGGTTTTGCTCAGTCGAGCTTGCGATTTGGCAGGGGGGTGGCGTGAAACCTCAGCAGTTTCACAAATCTATGTCCTTGGACTCAGAAGCATGCAAATCCCCCACGTCTGAATGAATGTTTTGGGGTTACTCCATGCAGTTGCAGTGGCAGTCGTCGTCGTTGTCATCGAAGTCGTCGTCGTAGTCGTCGTCGTAGTCGCAACTATGGACTACGGTACTGGTGATGGTACTAGTTGTGTCATCATAATCCCGCCACAACAGACCTTCCATCTCTCCCAGCCGCCGAAGTGCCGCCCACACCATTTACTGCCGAGATGGCGTGGCAACATCAGCAAGACCGGACGATTTGATCAGCTCCTCGGTATATTTCATTTCAGACTCAGACCCAACATTTTTGCGCCCCGAAGCGCGGTTTACGAGAGGTCGTGTTTTTTTCTTGTGGTGCAAGCTTCCAAAACGGCCGCGGCAGACCCTTAACTGCTCTTGGATCCTTTTCCACCCGACGATGTTCTATCCAAAATGCGAGAATCCCTGAAGCTTGAGCCCCGCGGCCTAGAAAATTTGCTCCCAAGCCCTAGTTGTCCATACCGACCCCCTCCCACTCCCACACCCACCACCCAGTGCTTCGGCAGGTTCATGGACAGTCACCTGGGGCTGGTGTTCGACACGCTGGACCCGACCCTTGGGCTTTGAGAGATTTGGTGATGAAGGATCATTACATACACAGCACTCTGACGGTGAGAAGGGGCTATCTCATGCCTTAGACAGTGAACGGGGGAACTTTAAACTTTTCGGCCTTATATATTAGCTCTATTTTTAGAAAGTTTGAACTTTTTGGGGGCCGGTTGTTGAAGAAGAGAGATGCCAACCGTTGTACCATGGATTTGTCGAGGCTCATGGTCCAGGGCTGGTCACAACAAAGAAACCAGGGTTTAGGGTTTAGGGTTTAGGGTTTCCTGGTCCCCAGGAACTGCATACAAATACCCTAAACCCTAAATGGGAGTTTCCGAAAACAGGGGGCTCTAATGCAGTACCCTAAATAGCAGGATCCTTATTATAAGGTCCCCCAAATAAGGTCCCCTTGTTTTCGGAAAGCCCTAAATACCGAACCTGAAAGCCTGAGACCCAAATCCCTTTATCCTACAGCCTAGCCCCTCCGCGACGAGGCTTGTGGAGAAGTGGCAGAGAGACGGCGTGCCCTTCATTTGCCGCGGCCTGGCGCTGTTTGCTTCTTTGGGTGAGGGGTGGGAGATTTAGGCTTGGGGTTTTCCTATAGCTTTTGTCAGATAGACCGGAGGTGGGTGCACCAGTAGTCTGGCGCGTTCTTCTTCTGGAAGCGCAGTCGTTTGAGGATGTATATTTGGGCAGAGCCTAGGATGCAGGCCTCAGCATTGAGGAGGGAGGGTTTTACCGCATAACGGGCCACAAGCTTCGAGAGTCGCGAACTCCAAGCCTCAAGTCTCGACAGGGTTCAATTCTATATCGACCTCCAACTCTAGAAAATGTAGGCATTCCAGATCTTATAGACACTTCAGAAGGCGCCCCCCCCCCCCCCCCCGATCATTTGGTTTCGAAGCCCGACGCCTGTTGTGGAACCCCTTCAAAACCCTAGTTCACAAACTCCAGAGACCCTAGACCCTATAACCAGACTCCTACCGGTAGCCGAAAAGACCTAAATTTTAAGGAACTACATACAGAAATCATGATAAGGAACCCTAAAAAGGTAGGTCTTTTCGGCTACAGGTAAATCCTAGAGACCCAAGCCCCGGATCCTACGAAGGATCCTGGTGCTGTGGCCCCGGATTTGCTCAATGGCCGGACCGCTGTCCTTTCGGGCCAAGCAAGGACAGAAGGGGCGGTTTAGGGTTCAGTGTAGGGTTTTTTGGGTGTTGCTGAAAGTTCCTTCGTTGAAGAATTTAGCTGCCTGCTTTTTCTTGATCGTTTGGTAGAAGTGTTTATTGGGGTCGGAGCTCTGTGGATTCTGGGGTGCTATCATAGGGACCCTCAGAGGGGTAGGGGCCTTAATACCTATAATAAGGACTTAGTAAGGCCTATTTAAGGAAGTTTAGTCCCCTCCCCCCCCCCCCCCCCCAGCCTCCCAACCTACCCCCCCAAGGATCCCTACGGTTGATGATATAAATCCTGCATGACCCATAATAAGGAATATACCATATTTCCCATAGTTTGGGGTCCTTAAGGTAATGCAGGATTTATATCATCAACCCTATGATGTTATGCGAACAGGGACTGCAGGTTCGGCTGACCCCCATCCTTACGTCGAACCTTCAAGAACCCGGTAGTAGTGACTTCTACTTTTCTACGGGGTTCCTTGGTGCTCTAGCCTTCCTTGTGATAACGATACAAAACTACACCTTAGAAGGGGCCCCCACCCTGTAACAGTGGTATAATAGGAATACAATAGGGCCCTAATATAATCCTTATAGTCACTATTACAGGGTGGGGGCAGCTTCTAAACTATACCGCCAAAACCCTGTGGCCCCCATATTTCCACCCCAACTTCTTGCAAGCGGATCTTGTCGGGCTTCGGATCTTGAGGTTAGGTCAAGGTTTAAAGGGACGTCCAGAAAGTTGGAATATGGTTTCAGGGTAGGATCCCCTATAATTTACCTTAAAGGGGTTACGATAATGATATTCCAACTTTCCGACTTCTACTGTAGGAAGGTTTAGGGTGAAGGGTCAAGGTTTAGGATGAAGGGTTTGCGGCCTTAGGGCTTTGGGGCTTTGTGGAGGTCAGGATTGAGGGGATGAGGGGTGTCATGCTTCGACCTACCATTTGTGTTCGGAGCGGCTAAAAGTCTGGGGTGTCGGAGTGTTCAGTTTCGGGCCTACTGTGAGGCGTTTGGAGTTTGGAGTTCAAGATCGAGCGGTTTAGGTTCACGGGAGGGGCTGCGCGACAGTGCTCACCCCGCAGAGCCATATTCGGGATAGGTAGCCATAGCTCTTATAGCTGTCTAGTCTACGAACGCTGTTGAATAGGGGAATTTCCTGTGCCTCCCTTCCAGCCCCAGGGTAGTTGATACGTCGTGCTTGGGAGCAGTTTTAAGTCGATGGAGTTCCCATCCCTCGTTGAAGCGGCAGCCCGAGCTCGGAAACTATGCTATCCAGGACAGCGATTTTTGCGAACAGGGCTGCTATGTCGAGGTGCCGCATGGTATCATTCTGGAGGACCCTCTGCCGCATCTAAAGGTTTGGTTATTCATAAGTCAGGCAGACATGCGACGATGCGAAACTCAGATTTTGCGAACACATCTCCTGAAACAAGGAACATCCAAAAGCGGCTTACATAATTGCCACCAAGTTAGTGCAGTGCAACCCATTTTGCCTGAAGCATTAAGTCATTGGCGAGTCATGGACCCTAAACCCTAAACCCGATAAACCCTATACCCTAAACCCTGAGCGGAGTGACTTCATCTCTTCGTTGAGAGTGTTTGATCACCTTCTGTAGCATGGCCTGGATGGTTTGGGTCTAGAAGGGTCCATTCTTGAGGCAACATAATCACATCCGTAGCCTCGGCTTAAGCTGTGTCTCTCTTTGTAGGACCAGCTGCATCAGCTTCGGCCCGCCCTGCCCACCCTGATCTTCTATGATGGGAGTGTGGCTATGCTCTTTGCGGCACTCGTGTTTACCTTTACCAGAGAGTTTCCTCATCCTCTTGATGATCAGCATATGGCGTCTGCTCAGGCCGTTCATCGCTTTCAGGAGGATTCTAAGCGGTTCCCCGTGGAATCCTACGAGGACGTGTCGTTGGCATGGAGACAGGGGGAGTGGCGTACACTCACACCTTCGGAGAGGGCGTCCATTCATTGTATCCCCCCTGACGCGGTAGGTACCTGCACGCTCCAGCATGTACATCACGATCGCCGCACGCAAATCCGGAATTCCTGGATAGGCAACGGCTTCCACATTCCCAGCATTGTGCTCATTCTACTAGTACTGGTGTCGGAGGCGGTTGCTATTCCTGATGCTATGCAGTGTGTCTATGATCAGCACCTGCGAGCAGCCATACCGGGTTCGCCGTTCGATGACTCTCTCTTGCAGGCTTTTCCAGGACAGCGCACAGTTGATCAAGTTTTGTGCGACGTCCAGGCCATTCTCGCCGATTGCCCCGGGTGCGCAGATGCTCCTCGGCATAAAGTCCGCAAGCGGCTTCAGGGACATTGCATCAGGTCTTTGTTCTCCTTCAAGCTTTTTCTTTGGCATCGGGGTCAAAACGAAGTCACGGAGGGCCCTGCTTGGGTCGGGCAACGCAATCGGGCCTTACTTCAGGCGGCAGTTGGACGGCAGAGAGCCGCCGGCGACTCCAAAAAAGGGCTCGATCACTTGCTCCCGCCGGGCCTCTCCAAGCTTGAACACATTCGTGCCTCCGGCTTGCTTCCATCCCCCTTTGAAGTCGGGAACGCGGTGGACCCCGATGTGGAGTTCGCCGCCTGGGCTCTGGGCGTCTGGGGCCCTGTCTTACCTCGGTGGCAGGAAGATGTTCGGCGGTGCTTGCATCGTTTGGTCAAAGCTTTCCAACCGGTCGAGGAGTTCATGATGTCCGTGTCTCCGGTGTCGGGTTTGTCTACCCGGTCTCCGCTAGCCCTGGCAGTCTTCACAGTCCTCCTTGATTGGCCTGACGTCACGCAGCCCTTGCGCTACCTCACGGGTTTCAGGGCTGTTGGTGCTATTGAGCCTACTGGTGTTTTTTGTGAGATACCTCACACGGCTCACGTGCCCGAGGAAGAGTTCCTGGGTCAGTCAGCTCAGGACTTTATCCAGGAGCTCATCCATCGCTCGCCATCCCAGGATGCCCAGGCCATTTGGGATTTGACTCAGGATGAGTGTTCTAAGGGATGGTGCTCGGGTCCTTTTTCGGTCGCTCAGCCGGACCGCCAATTTGGATCAGGCTGCTGGCGACCTGTGCCTCGTTTTCTAGTGACCCAGGCTAGCGGGAAACAAAGGCTGATTGACGATGCCAAGCAAGGATCTCACAATCTAGCGACAGATATGGAAGAGACCATTTACACGATTGGTATCGACAGTCTTCCCGTTTATGTTCGTCGGATGGCTGAGGTCGTTATCTTCTTTTGGGGCTTCCTTCCGGACTGGTTTCTCCCTACAGCCTGTATCATGGATCTCCCCGAAGCTTATCGTGGCTGTCCGGTTGACCCTCTACACCAAGGACTCACCATCGCGGCTACTTTCGATCCCGTCAAGAAGCGCTGGTGCTTCTGGGTGTATACAGGATTGCTCTATGGGCTCGCTTCTGCGGTTCTCTCTTTCAATCGTCTGCCTACTCTGTTGGTAGCGGTTGCTAGGAGGCTGCTAGCGAATATTTGTGGCGCGTATTTTGACGATCTGTTCGACATTGCAATCCGCGCTATAGCGGCTTCTTCCCAAGCTTCTCTCCTTCATGTTCTAGCATTGGCGGGTTCTCCTCCAGCACCGGACAAGACCCAACCCCCTCGCTCAGCCTTTTGCTACCTGGGGGCCGCTTTTGACTTTTCCATGGTCTTTGACGAAGGCCTCATCACGTGTGGACCCACCTCGTCTTCCCTGCACAAGCTTTGCGAGGCTGTTGAAGCGGCAGCGGCTGCTCGGCAGCTTTCTCCAGCTCAGGCCTCCAAACTTCGGGGCCAGGCAGGTTGGACGGGGTCTTTACTGCACGGTAAGTGCGGCAGGCTGGCTCTTCGCTTCCTTAAGCAGCGCCAGTACTCCGATGATGGGGATCGTTCTCTTTCGGATGATCAGCTTCGGGAGCTCAGGTTGTTGGTTCACATCGCCCGAACGGCCCCCGTAAAGATCATCAACACACTCCAGCCATCTCGGAAGCCTGTCGTAGTCTACTCTGATGCCAGCTTTGAGAACGGTGTCGCCAAATGTGGCTGGGTCGTGTTTCCCTCTCAGGGGCAACCCGTTGGTCAGGCTTTGACGGTACCCCCCGCATGGATTGCGGAATGGGAACCTCGAGAAACGCAAATCTTTGCAGCGGAGGCCTTTTGCTCGTTGTTGGTACCTTTCAATCTTCCTTCTCTTCTCCGGGGTCAAGACATTCTTTGGTTTATTGACAATGAGGCCGCAGCCGCGGCAGTCATCAGGGGCAACAGTTCTTCCGTTGACGTCGACAAGATAGTTCAGCTCGCTTCGCTTTTGCTTCTTCGTTTGGGATCTCGGCTCTGGGTGGAGTGGATTAATTCCGATGCTAACCCTTCCGATGGTTTGTCCAGGGACGGCATCGATGATGTTTGGACATGTGATCAAGGTTGGCAGCTCTCCGTAGCACTCCTGCCCGATCCAGCCATTCACGAAACATTGGAGACTCGTGTTCGATGTCCATCGCTGATTGGCACTTCATGCCTAACAGCTGGCATCGATTTGTACCAATGTACACTTTAGGTGTATCATTGAGTCTGCGAGATTTCGTGCTCCTCATCCTAGAAGAAAATACGTCCGTCTGTGCATTGTGTTTGCCGTAAAGAATTGATCACCTTCTGTAGCATGGCCTGGATGGTTTGGGTCTAGAAGGGTCCATTCTTGAGGCAACATAATCACATCCGTAGCCTCGGCTTAAGCTGTGTCTCTCTTTGTAGGACCAGCTGCATCAGCTTCGGCCCGCCCTGCCCACCCTGATCTTCTATGATGGGAGTGTGGCTATGCTCTTTGCGGCACTCGTGTTACTCTGAGCTCACTGGGCTTACCTGGAAGTGTCACCCAGACACTCGGTCGTCCGTGATCTTGCGGGTTTCCCGGAGCGGAACTCGTGTTCGATGTCCATCGCTGATTGGCACTTCATGCCTAACAGCTGGCATCGATTTGTACCAATGTACACTTTAGGTGTATCATTGAGTCTGCGAGATTTCGTGCTCCTCATCCTAGAAGAAAATACGTCCGTCTGTGCATTGTGTTTGCCGTAAAGAATGTTTGTATAGTCTCAGTCCACGTCGGTGCGAACTCTTGTTTCAGCTTAGCAGCTCATTCCTGCAAAAATATGGAACTCCATGACAGTCCAAGAAAGTACGGAAAACTCTGCTTGCAATATGGGTGTTCTCTGCAAGGTGACCAGAACACCCGAGGTGCACTGTGCAAAAGAACGTTCTGGATTCCCTGTTGCGGGTTGAGATCCACTGCCGCCTTGTTGACATGAACTTCTTGAAAATGAGGGACGAATAGAGACCCCAAATCCTGGAGAGCAGGATCTGTATTGTAAGGAACTTCAGATAATGAGGCATCCAAAAACCGACCCTAAACCCCTAAACCCCCAAACCCTAAAGCCCTAAACCCTAAACCGAACTTAAACCCCTGTTGTCAAGAAACCCCTCCACATGGCCGCTCACCGAGGCTCTGTGCGGCATGGAGAACTACCAGGCGGCAAACTGCTGGATGTGCTCCTTCCACACCCTGGCTTCAGGGTTTAGGGTTTCAGGTTTAGGGTTTAGGGTCTTTGGGTTAAGGGTTTAAGCTTCAGGGTTTAGGGTTTCAGGTTTGGTGGGGTTTAGGGTCTTTGGGTTTAGGGTTTAAGGTTTACCTGCACGCACACGCATTCATGCTACTTCTGCTTCTGTTGTGCTGCTTGTGGTGGTCCTGGGTACTGTTGAGTTGGTCAAATTTCCAAGCCGAAGCCTGGACAGCCTGGACCTCTCGGTGCAATGTCCCGTCGATGTCTGCGACAGGCTTCTCGAAAGTGCCTGACGAAGGCGCATCGGACTGCTTTGCTTTCGGGGACGGGGTTCTAGAACACATTGCCATTCTTCTCAAAGACTCCAAAAAAACTTACATCAGTCGGATTGAATCGACTGCTACAGGAACATGTATGTGTATCGCTCAGCCTTGAATCACTTGAATCCTAACTAAACCCAAAGTCTTAAATCCCTGATCCCAGGTGCCGCCTCACCAATTGAAGGCTTTCGATTTGTGCTCAGACAACTGAAGCGATCCGCGGAATCATCGATCGGGTGTGTAGTTTTTGCGGCGATGTTTGATGTTGCGTTAAGACAGCTGTTTAGGGGTTTAGGGTCTAGGGAATCCGTAAGCTTTATAGTTAGACTTTTGTTGTAGTATTCAGGTGGCTTAGGGTGTCGTTGTCAATCTCACAGACCCGGTCTGGGTGCCATTTTCCTAGCACCGCTGTGAAGCAGCGCTGTGGCAGCCAGGAAGCTGAGTCTGACGGGCGGAAAAGATACAGAATGCTTGGAGTGGCAATTTGTAGAACCGTGGTGGTTGTGGTCGTGGACACGGTAGCAGGACGAGCAGTACTTGTAGCAGTAGTAGCTGTAGTAGTAGTAGTAGTAGTAGTAGTAGTAGTAGCAGTAATAGTAGTAGCAGCAGCAGCAGTAGTAGCAGTAGTCGCAATAAGTAGTACTAGTAGGAGTAGAAGTAGTAGTCGTTCTCGCAGCATGGTGGTGGTAGTAGTAGTCGTGGGAGAAGGAGCCGGAGGAGGAACAAGAAGATTTGGGGGAGACAGTCATTGCCGTCGTCTTCCTGATGATAACAGTCGTGATGGCAGAGAGTAGAGGACTGGACATTGGCATTAAGGGGAGCTGGGCGTCGCGGTGGGAAGTTTGTCAGACCCAACGATTCACCCGAAAATTGATGCACAACCCCAAACCCCGCTTAAACGCTCAGCCGTGAGTCTCTAGCAAGAAGCCCGAACCCATGGACGAGCCTCCATACCATAACACCCTATACACCCTCGTTTACAAATACTCCAAGATCCTTATCAAGCCCTCAGCAAAACCCTATTAACTTACCATTGGTTAGTAGGAAATGGAAGAATGGTAGTTACAGTAGTTATAATAGTACCCCATTCTCCATTCCCTACTAACCAAAGGTAAGTTAAGCCCTCAAACCCTGCACCGCTAAACCCTGGCAGCCAAGACCCCAAAACCCTAAAAACGCTACAACCCTAAACCCTAGAACCCTAAACCCCACAACTCCGGAACCCAAAGCCTTAAACCCCGAGCCCTAAATCTTAAGCCCCAAATCCTAAGCCTTGAAATCGCACTATTTGGGCTACCTAACAAGGAACCCTAAGTTGGAGAACGCCCCAAATCCCTCCCCAACTCCTGAATCCCTTACCAAAGCCCCCTAAACCCCTAAACCCTAAAGCCTGCAAGCCCTAAGCCCCAAATCCCTTACCAAAGCCTCCGAGGTCACGTCTGTTCGCGACCGGCAGGCCGAGCGGGACGAGAAGGAGCGGCTGCGGAGCCCCGGAAAGGAAAGGTTTAGGGTTTAGGGTTTAGGGTTTAGGGTTTCCTAAGGTCCAAAGGACTCTATAATTCAGTGCTTGGGTTTGGGATAGTAGTTATGGAGCTCAATATTTAGGAGAGTATATGTTTATTAGGTACTTGGACCCTTTTGTTTTTCTCTTTTTTGTGTAGACACACACACACACACGTATGTGTGTGTATATATATATATATATGTATAATTTTGTTAGCTGGCTACATATTCCTACATATGTATATGCACACTACATATTTATATATATATATATATATAAAGACATACATACATATACTGATTAGAGTTCTTTCGGTGTGGGGGCTTCAGGGTTTGCGTCTTGGGAGTTTTTCGTGTTCGTCGTTTGGAGTTTAGGTCTTAGGGTTGTGGGACACTCGCGAATCGTTCACCTGAGTGGGGAATCGATGGGCCGTTTGGGGGTTTCATGTTCCCGACAGCGGCGTCACCTCGAGTTCCTGCTGGGTAAATCTCTGCCAACCCAAGGAAGCGCAAGAGGGACGAAGAAGAGCGCGAGAAGGCAGGAAAGTGCGGCGCATGCGTTGAAGGACGGGTTCGGCGCTGAGGTTCTGAGGCATTGGTAGTAGGAGAAATTGGGACGTACTATGCTGAGGATACCTCTAAACTCTGGACCCGTGATGTTGAGGAATAGGTATTCTTGCCAGTGCTGATGGTTCTTTGATTGGAGGTATCCGGTGTGTTTCCGCACTTAGCGACTACGTCCTTCTCGACTGTCTTAGGAGCTCCGAGAAGAGCGACCCCTTGCGACCCCTTGCGAAGCTGCCTCAAAGTCGCGGACCCCACATCCTAAACGCCCTAAGCCCGAATCCCTAACGCTTTAATGCGACCTAAAGCCAAAGACCGGAGAGTCCGGCAGAAGAGCCTACAACAATGCAAGAGAGGCTAAACCCTAAACCCTAAACCCCCCCCCCCCCCCCAGGCGCTGCGCAAGAGCCAGGAGGAGGTGGCACGTTTTCTGGAGCAGAAGCAAAAGTCGGGAGACCCGGAAAAAAGAGCCACGACATCGACTCCTCAGCTTTCTGCTTTACGGGTTGGAATACAATAGGGGCTTAAATGGGGGTTCCGTATTATTTGTATACTCTAGTGGACCCCCAAACCCTGTTCTGATTATTAAGTTAAGGCCCTCATATTAGATAGAAGTAGTGTCTACGTATGGTCCCTTCTCATAGCTATAGTCGAACCAAATGCCTTTAGCATAGCGGCAATATCTAGGCTAGCCTAAGCCCAAAACTTTGGGTCTAGGGGCCAAGGTCTACGTCAAGGAATCATTTTCAAGAGTCCGATCCCTCGGACAGCAGGCAGAGGAAGGTGTGTTCATGCATGAGGGTCTATGGTTTTTGGGCTTCAGGGGTTTGCGGGCTGTAGGGCTTTTAACTCAAGGTAGGGACATGGGACTTTCCGAAAATTGGGGGGTACGTTATTTGGGGGTGCTTATATTGGGGATCCTATTATTTAGGGTACTATACTAGGGTCCCCTATTTTCGGAAACTCCCACATGGGTAACCCTGGATCCGCAGAAATCTTAAAAACCCAAAGCCAGCAGAGGCAAACTCGACAATCTGAAGCTGAAGAGCCCCGAGGTCCAAACAGACCCTAAGCATCCCCAAACCCTAAACCCTAAGTCCTTTTTTTAAAAAAAACAAAGCCCTAAACCCTAAGTCCTAAACAAGCCCTCAGCCCTAAGTCCTAAGCTCATGAAAAACTGCTCAAAAAAAGTCCTAAACCCAGCATCCCATAACCGAAGCCCTGCGCGCCCAAACCCTAGACCCTAAACCTTCGACCCTAAACTAAACCCAAAACTTTAAACTCCAAGCCCCAAGCCCGAAACCCACAACCCTAAACGAAACACTTAAACCCTCAACTAAACCCTAAACCCTAAACAAAACCCTAAACTAAACCCTAAACCCTGAACTAAACCCTAAACCCTGAAATAACCCTAAACCAGGCCCCGAAACCCTGAAATAACCCTAAACTAGGCCCCGAAACCCCCGAAGCCCACGAGGTTTCCAGAGGACTTCAAGGAGGAGCCTCCTCGAGCTCGAGAGAAGCAGATCAGGCCGCCCTTTTCTCAGGGGTAAATAGAAATAATTGTTTAATTTTTGGTACTTAGAACTTAGAAAGAATTTTAAATTTTTTAG